GTATCAAGGAACCGTGTGATAAAAAAACAAAACACCTTCAGAACATTTATTTAATTACAAACGTCATTTGTTATGTCCACCTGACGGCGGATACAAAAAAGAACTCAACGACAAATAGTTTATTACAAAAAAAATATTAATTAACTATATAAAAAAATTATAATAATAATTGAATTAAAAATATATATATGTATATATAATATAGTGTTGGAAGATGTGCATGGCCGAAAAAAATTATTATACCTATCTGGAGGCGCTTATTAATTTGCAAGAAAAAGAGACTGACATGGCCACAAAAATAACTAAAGCCCTTTTGCTAAGCAAAAGATGAAAGTCCGTTTAGCAACTCAACTTCTAAGTAAATCTGTGGCGGATGCCTTAGAGTTTTGTAACTCGGAATTAAAACTCAAAGCGTTTGCAAAATTGTGAAGACACCATAACTTTTATAAAACTTCTTAACGATGGTTCGATATCCTGAACAGTCACTCGATTCTCCCGCCTGGATTAAAAAAAGCCATGTGTCCCCAAAACATCAGCCTTATCGAACTGCTGTTTGAAAGTGCAATTAGCTATATACGCGGCCTGAGGCTGCCGTCAGGTTAGTTAGTAATTGAGTCGAGGAGACAGACTGGCTTCGTGGGGCTAATTATTGATATGAAAAGCGCATTAGCTTTATATCGACATCTTGTCGAAAACACAAAAATATTAAAATATTTCTCACTGTACAAGATCAGCCAGGATCACGTCGAGCTATTTTATTCAGCTATAAGAGCTCGATGGGGTTTTAACAATAATACAAATGCCGTTCAATTTAAAGCAGCCTTCAAGAGGCTTCTTATTCGATTCGAAATTCGCGAAGAAGGGCTCGGCAATTGTGTTGCCTTGGAGCAAGTTAATATTTTAAATTATACAAGCACTAGCCAACAAAAAAGCTTTGAATGTTTTAACCGAAAAAAAAAACAATTGGTTGAAGTGCCAGAAGATGACAGCACCTTATACGAGGAATACATAGATTGCTTAAATAGCACTCTTTCCGTATTTCCTGACTCAGTTGTTACTTACATCGCAGGATTTGTATCGAGAAAATTATCCCGCAATATAAAATGTCAGACGTGTGCTTCGTTATTGTTGGGAGATCCGAACAGCAATTTGAAAACGCTGATTAATTTTAAAACAAGAAGTGGACTAACATACCCATCGAAACATGTTGAAGACATGACGAAAAATACAGAAAACATCATTAAACCTAACTTGGATAAGTCGGTGTCCCAAAACCATTATTTATATATATTTAAATTCATTATGGAGCACTACCACGAAAAAGCGGACCCATTTTTTGGTCGGAATCAATTGATCATGACATTAATCATAAATACCTTTTAATAAAATGTGTCATCAAAACATATTTAGACATTTCGAAAACAAAATACAATAGCGATCAATGGATCAACTACTTGAGAATGATTCCATTTCGCTCGATTCGAGTATTGCATTCGAGTAAGCAAGTCAGGCCCCAAAACTATTGTTCATATTCCAGAAAACACCTGTGCTACTGAGTTGATCCATTGATCGCTATTGTATTTTGTTTTCGAAATTTCTAGACTTATTATAGAATTTACAATGGACTTTACTCGTTACGAAATAAAATTATTTTATTTAAATAGTTTCGAAGAGAGATTTTCTCGGTAACCTTTTTCCCGAAATATCTAAACCGAATGTCTAAATATGTTTTGATGACACATTTTATTAAAAGGTATTTATGATTAATGTCATGATCAATTGATTCCGACCGAAAAATGGTGTCCGCTTTTTCGGAGTAGTGCTCCATAATGAATTTAAATATATATAAATAATAGTTTTGGGGCATCGACTTATCCAAATTAGGTTTAATGATCTTTTCTGTCTTTTTCGTTATGTCTTCAACATCTTTCGATGGGTATTTCAGTCCACCTCTTGTTTTAAAATGAATCAGCGTTTTCAAATTGCGGTTTGGATCTCCAAACAATAACGAAGCACACGTCTGACATTTTATATTGCGGGATAATTTTCTCGATACAAATCCTGCGATATAAGTAACAACTGAGTCAGCATATACGGAAAGAGTGCTATTTAAGCAATCTATGTATTCCTCGTATAAGGTGCTGTCATCTTCTGGCACTTCAACCAATTGTTTTTTTTCGGTTAAATCGTTCAAGGCTTTTTGTGGGCTAGTGCTTGTGCAAGTTAAAATATTAACTTGCTCCAAGGCAACACAATTGCCGAGCCCTTCGTCGCGAATTTCGGCTCGAATAAGAAGCCTCTTGAAGGCTGCTTTAAATTGAACGGCATTTGGATTATTGTTAAAACCCCCTCGAGCTCTTATAGCCGAAAAAAATAGCTCTACGTGATCCTGGCTGATCTTGTACAGTGGCAAATATTTTAATATTTTTGTGTTTTCGACAAGATGTCGATATAAAGCTAATGCGCTTTTCATATCAATAATTAGACCCACGAAGCCAGTCTGTCTCCTCGACTCAATTACTAACTGCCCTGACGGCAGCCTCAGGCCGCGTATATAGCTAATTGCACTTTCAAACAGCAGTTCGATAAGGCTAATGTTTTGGGGACACATGGCTTTTTTCAATCCAGGCGGGCGAATCGAGTGACTGTTCAGGATATCGAACACATCGTTAAGAAGTTTTATAAAAGTTACGGTGCCCTCACAATTTTCAAACGCTTTGAGTTTTAATTCCGAGTTACAAAACTCTAAGGCGTCCGCCACAGATTTACTTAGAAGTTGAGTTGCTAAACGGACTTTCATCTTTTGCTTAGCAAAATATACGTGAGCTTTAGTTATTTTTGTGGCCATGTGCAGTCCCTCTTTTTCTTGCAAATTAATAAGCGCCTCCAGATAGGTATAATCAATTTTTCGGCCATACACATCTTCCAACACTCTTAAGTCGCCGAATGTGTTTCTGATTAATTTTATCATATGACAAGGATCAAAAAATGCATGCAATGTGCTTTCGCCACACTTGAATGTGCTATCAGTTTGTCCTTTGGTAAAATGGCAACCAAGCTCTTGCAACATCGCAAAATTTGCTGCAGGCCCATCGCATGTAACACTCACAATCTTGATACCCACTGCCTCGCATTTTTGAACGCACATTTTTAACAATTCACATTTTTGCTCTGCTGTCAAAGATGTAATGAAAAAATATGCGATTGGAAGTTTCCAACTTCCATTGATGTTATTAACTAAAAATACGAGGCATTGATTCGCCACCTCCAATGCGTCATTGTCACATTCTGACCCTATAGTAACTCGACCGTAATACATTTTTTTTTGGGGATCCCAGCTTAAAGACTTTCTTATTGACATCTCATCGAAGATTAGCGAGCACACAATTGGTGTGTCGCTAGCTCGAACTTTGTTTTGGAGAGCCTCAAACGCTTCCTCACAAAGGCCGGGTTCCGCATTTATTTTTTGATACCACCTAGTTAAAGTCCTTGGGTGAGGCAAGCATGTATTGTATGTTCGCCGCACAAAATTGTAGGCCTTCGGCGAAAAGAAGTGGAGCGTAAGGGCAAATTTTCTAGTCTCTTCCGAATACTGTTTTTCCAAAGGCAAGCCTTCACTTTTCAAAATTTGTCTCTTTAAAAAATCTTTAGGACCTGCGCAGGCTTCTAAAACTATAGAGTTTTCGTTGTTGACAAGGTTCCTTTCCTGTAGGTCTTTTATAATGTTCTGGAACTCTGCGATTTTTTTCTTTTGCCGCCGCAGTTTTTCATTTAATTTTTTTACTTTCTTCCTTAAGAAATCACATTGATCTTCAAGTTTTTTTATTTTTTGTGCTTGGTTCTGAAATAAAAAATGATTATAATTGAATACACTATGTTTATGTGATGGCGATCACAAATTTGGAGGTAATTTTAAGTAATTTGCCAATAAGTACTAGTACTGGACTGCAAGCATTCGAATGTTTTTCAATATGAGCCTTGCTAACGTGCGGCTAATGGTTCCAGTTAGAGGATGTCTTAAGGTAGGTCATGGAGTAGTATACGTACCGGTAGATTATCCACTCCTGAAGCGCCAGAGACAGAAGCAAAAGAAGCCGCACACGCGGCAATCGTCTTCATGGGGAGCTGCGTATAAAAAAGGTGTGTTTAAAACCAGACTAAGACTAAAGGCACCCACTGATTACCAGTTCGCACACACAGCATCACAAAATTTGGCAGCTCCGAAATTAAATATGTATATATATATTTACATCTATTGTAAAACTTACACATTAGGAAGACAAGAATACAATTTTGATCCTTTTATAGCACGTTATGTTGTAAAATAATATGTATATTCGAATGTTTTTCAATAAGAGCGTTGCTAACGTGCGGTTGATGGTTCCAGTTAGAGGATGCCTTAAGGTAGGTCATGGAGTAGTATACGTACCGGTAGATTATCCACTCCTGAAGCGCCAGAGACAGAAGCAAAAGAAGCCGCACACGCGGCAGTCGTCTTCATGGGGCGCTGCGTATAAAAAAGGTGTGTTTAAAACCAGATTAAGACTAAAGGCGCCCACTGATTACCAGTTTGCACACACAGCGTCACAAAATTTGGCAGCTCCGAAATTAAATATATATATATTTACATCTATTATAAAAACTACACAATGGGAAGACAAGAATACAATTTTGATCCTTTTATAGCACGTTTTGTTGTAAAATAATATGTATGTTCGAATGTTTTTCAATAAGAGCGTTGCTAACGTGCGGTTAATGGTTCCAGTTAGAGGATGCCTTAAGGTAGGTCATGGAGTAGTATACGTACCGGTAGATTATCCACTCCTGAAGCGCCAGAGACAGAAGCAAAAGAAGCCGTACACGCGGCGGTCGTCTTCACGGGGAGCTGCGTATAAAAAAGGTGTGTTTAAAACCAGACTAAGACTAAAGGCGCCCACTGATTACCAGTTCGCACACACAGCGTCACAAAATTTGGCAGCTCCGAAAATATATATATATATATATATATACATATTTACATCTATTATAAAACTTACACAATGGGAAGACAAGAATACAATTTTGATCCTTTTATAGCACGTTTTGTTGTAAAATAATATGTATGTATTGTATATATGTACATAAAAAAAAAGTGTATCAATATAACTATAAAAGTAGATACATTATTAACTTACTCTTACAAATTTGAAGGGCACGGCATCATCTCGTAGTCGAGTCACATTCAGAGTTTTGTTGAAAAATTTATCATCAAAATGTAGCGAGCAAATATAAAGATCTTTTACATTTGACTTTAAATTTTCCTTTCCAATAGCTTCCAGCCACTTATTCTTTATATGCTCATTTCTTGGGATCCTATAAAATATGTTTTAATTATTAATTTTGTATGTTTTAAGCGGGTAGCATGATAAAATAAAAATTATATAAGCAATCATACTAAATCGATATGAATGTCGATAAATAATGTACAGCCCTAGCTAATAAATTAACATTATTTAAGCGTAAAAATTTCGTTAAATAAGTCAAATCCATTCATGACCTATAACGGTACATAAGAACCTTGCTAATTATAATGTAAATCTTCCTATATTTTCCCGGTAACATTAACAATAACTAATATTTTTAATGTTATTTAAAACGTACCTGTGTATGGTTAATGATGGCCGATTTGGTGTTTTTCTTATGCCGCACCCAACAACACTGCACACTGGCATATTTGCGACGTAATTGTTTACTGGTGGCTTCAATTATTTTAAATTAAAAGCAAAATCTTGAAAGATAATTAGTAATTTTTATTTATATCACGACTTTTTGACAAGACAAGTACCTGCTGAACTGTCTGACAATGACATTTGGTGCGCAAAGCATGGCGGATTTTCGGCCTCATTAGACGGAGATGGAGACATTTACGTATATTCATGTTTCATTTTATGTACGCACTGAAATACTGTTATATTGTTTTCCTGCGAGTTACAGTGCTGAGTAAGAATGAGATAGATATATGTTTATGTGTGTGCCTTCAAAATGGGTGCTATTTATATAAGCAATTGTACGTATAGAACAATATGTCGTGTCCCTATTATATAGGTCTATGCTTCGAGGAAGGGAAAAAGGAAGATATGTTCCCGCCAAAAGTCTGTCAAATGTCAATCTCAAACCTCAGTGTTGACAGTCACATTATGTTTAGATTTCTAAATTGTAAATGACTAATATTTTGCCAATTGAATTGACTAATTTAATGTCATGCTATTTGATTAATGTTCCAAATTCTTTTCATTTCATTTCAATTCCTATTAACATTTTTCCCAAAAAAATAATAATTATAAAATATTAGGCTGTATGGTATGATACATTTGCCTTTCCAGTTGGAAAAATACAACCACTACTACTACTGACATTTGACAAGTACTTAATTTCAATAGTAGTTTGATGTCACTTCCGCTGCATACCTGTGTGACGTTCTGTAAAAATTTTACCCCCATGCGCCTAAAGAAGTTTCACTTCAAAAATTGTCAAATGAGTATTATTACTATAACTATCACTTAAAGTAAACTTTATACAAAAAAAAAAGGTATTTTATTTTCGTTTTTGTGAATAATTAACCGGAAAAGCCTCAGTATAAACGTTAGGACAAAGAACGAATTTTTTTTTTGTTTTTTTTTTTTTTTATTGCTTTAATGGGTGGACGAGCTCACAGCCCACCTGGTGTTAAGTGGTTACTGGAGCCCATAGACATTCACAACGTAAATGCGCCACCCACCTTGAGATATAAGATCTAAGGTCTCAGTATAGTTACAACGGCTGCCCCACCCTTCAAACCGAAACGCATTACTGCTTCACGGCAGAAATAGGCGGGGTGGTGGTACCCACCCGCGCGGACTCACAAGAGGTCCTACCACCAGTAATGTTAATTGTATGTAATTAAATGTAATTGTGTAATGCTAAAAATTATCAGATTATTCACTCGTCACAAGAAGGTCGGGCACTTGTCTTCATGTCAGAAGTCAACGAACTCTCATTGTGTTCAATTACTCTATTATAATCAATTATACTAAATTATACTAAATTTTCTGTTCTAATTAATTTAATTCGATTTGTTTTTTGTTCGTGTCAAACGCGAGCTCAGCTTCCTCCAGCATTAGGAGTTAGGTACTCGCCAGCTGTGTCCGAGCGATGAGAATGATTCAAAAGGAACTTTGGTCGAAGAACTCGTGGCTCGAAAGTCGTCGTGGCCTATAGGATAAGACGTCCGGTGCATTCGTATGTAGCGATGCACCGGTGTTCGAATCCCGCAGGCGCGTACCAATTTTTCTAATGAAATACGTACTCAAAAAATGTTCACGATTGACTTTCACGGTGAAGGAATAACATCGTGTAATAAAAATCAAAGCCGCAAAATTATAATTTGCGTAATTACAGGTAGTTGAAAAAAAAAACACTTTGAATGCGACGAAGAGTTCGACGTGCACCCAATCTCTAGCCCATAGACCAGTGATTCTCAACCACTGTTCCGCGGCACACAAAAGTGCCGCGAAATTTCAAAAGTGTGCCGCCAAATTTTGCCAATATATAATGATGTTAATATTATTAAATTATATCAAATATATATATTTTTTTAATTATTTGCTTGTAATTAATCCCTTTTTAAGCGTTTAAATATTATTAAAGCATATATTAGTTTCTTTCGTATATTTAATGGTTTTTTATAAAGGTTTTATGCAGTGTTTTAGAAAGTAAATAGTTTAAATCTTTTTCTTTGTGTGCCGCCAAATTTTAAAATCGTTAAATATGTGCCGCAACAAATAAAAGGTTGAGAATCACTGCCATAGACACAACCCCGCTGAGTTTCTCGCCGGATCCTCTCAGCGGGTCGCGATTCCGATCCGGCGGTAGATTCAGCGCTGCTCTTACTAGGATCAGTGTTAGCAAATTCTGTCTTCTTGAGCCCGTGAGCTCACCTATCAGCGCGGGAATTGCCACGATCAATTCGAGATAACATAAAATTAAAACTCGGGACGAGTCCTGGGCGCCACGACACGAGGACCTGCTGCCCCGGACACAGGGGGTGTGGGAGAAGGACAAAAAAATAGCGGTGATAATGATGTGATCGAGTATGGTCTGCTCTCGGAGGCCTATTCAGTAAGTGATCAAATAGAAAGAGATGCTGATTCTCTTATTCATGTCATTATTATTATACTAAAGGGGCTTAGTTGATGAATATGTTCCCACTGAGTTTCTCGCCGGATGTCCTCAGCGGGTCGCGATTACGATCCGGCGGTAGATTCAACGCTGCTCTTACTAGGATCAGTGTTAGCAAATTCTGTCTTCTTGAGCCCGTGAGCTCACCTCTTGGGTCAAAAGGCGAACCCTTCTATCATCATAGTATACGAACTCTGCCAGAATTATGGGAAAAGTTGATGCCACTAATAGGCGTTTGTTAACAATAAAATTTTATATTCATTCGTAAAAAAAGCAGCGAAAACTTAGTTGCGAGATGCTTAAAAATCTATATATTAATACGTGAAGCAAAAACTTTGTATCCCTTTTTACGAAAATTGCGCGTACGGAGGAGTATGAAATTTTCCACACTTATATAGAGAAGAAGTACACAATGCTAATATTTTTTTTAAATTATGCATTAATAATACATTAAATCAGTAAAGAAAACATTACACACACTACATACCATGTATTTGACGCACACACGCATGCATACTATTTATTTATTGTCAAACTGTTGTTCTTGACGTCTGTTGTCAAATTGAGAATAGATTAAATATTGTTTGTCTTTATTAATATTTTTCTATAGTTTTCGCGAAATTTGTGATTATAGAAGTCTTTGACAATAGAATCTTAATAGTGTACAAACTTATAATTTCATTTAATTATAGTCGAATTTCGGCTACCGGGCTGCCACTAGTAAATAAATAAAAAACACATCGTACTGTCATCGATAAAGAAGAAAGCAGATTAATGAAGCAAGATATTTAATTCTTTATCGAAGATTAATTTATCAAGGGATCATAAACTGTGAATTATTTTGATGCGTGTTCGTATACCTGTTATGGGCTTGTGGAAAGCATTCAGAGAGGCCCATGGGCATCGCCACGATCAATTCGAGCCGACATAAAATTAAAACTCGGGATGAGTCCTGGGCTCTACGATACGAGGACATGCTGCCCAGGACACACGGTGTGTGGGAGAAGGACGAGAAGATAGCGGTGATAATGATGTGATTCAATATGGTCTGCTCTACGAAGCCTATTCAGTAAGTAATCAAATAGAAAGAGACTAACCCACAGACACAGCCCACTGAGTTTCTCGCCGGATCTTCTCAGTGGGTCGCGTTTCCGATCCGGTGGTAAATTCTGCGAAGCACGGCTCTCGCTAGGGTTCGTGTTAGCAAAGTCGTTAGGTTTGAGCCTCGTTATCTCACCTACTAGTTAAGGTTACGCTGAAATAGCCTCTCAAGGCTATCAGCTTAGGTATGAAAAAAAAAAAAGAGATGCTGATACTCTTACTGTCATTATTATGATACTAAACGGGCTTAGTTGATGAAAATGTTCCCACTGAGCTTCTCGCCGGATCCTCTCAGTGGGTCGCGATTCCGATCCGGTGGTAGATTCAGCGAAGCATGGCTCTTGCTAGAGCCAGTGTTGGCTAGTTCAGTCAGGTTGAGCCCATGAGCTCACCGGTCCGCGCGAAGTTTGAATAGCCCTTTAGGCTAATCACAATACCTCCTCCTCCTCGCGTCGTTTTCCTCATTACTGAGGGTCGTGACTCCCCCGCTGCATCAGTTTCTCCCGTACGATTTCCCTCCATGCTGCGATCCTTAGCTTCATGAAGGGCATTGTGGACGTTGATGTTTAAAGAAGATCGTATTTGGTCCGACCATCTCGTGGGACTGCGTCCTCTGGGACGTTTGCCATCTACCTTTCCTATCACCATCAGCTGTTCTAGATTGTGACCCTCTTTACGAGCAATATGTCTGGTGGTAGGACCTCTTGTGAATCCGCACGGGTGGGTACCACCACCCCGCCTATTTCTACCGTGAAGCAGTAATGCGTTTCGGTTTGAAGGGTGGGGTAGCCGTTGTAACTATACTGAGACCTTAGAACTTATATCTCAAGGTGGGTGGCGCATTGTAGATGTCTATGGGCTCCAGTAACCACTTAACACCAGGTGGGCTGTGAGCTCGTCCACCCATCTAAGCAATAAAAAAAAAATTAACGCTATTTGGCTGACAGCCCTAACCAAGCTGCACGATCAGCATTCCCGAGCTCTCCTGTTCCGTCCGCCCCGCAAACGGACAGTCTTCTACAATCCCTCGACCTGAGCGGTCAAGTCTTCTCCTATCCTCCTAAATCAGTGCGCGTGACTGTCGTCGGACCTCCATTACTTACAAAAAAGAATTCCAGCACCCTACGAAGGCATATAACCACAATTAGGTAGAGAAAAATATATCCGTGGAACGTCTTATCATTTGTGTTCGTATCGTGTTTTGATTTACGGCTACTTTCACGGTGTTAACCTGTGGTCAATAGATAAGGAGCGATTAGAATTTAATTCGCACACTTGTTTTTGTTTTGCGGCAATGAAACGACAGGACACGTGGGTTATCGCGTTGGGTCGATCGCGCCATACGCTGTTTGATAACGAATAGATCAACAGGCTTATTTGGAACTGCCTTGATTTTTAGTGGTTTTTTTTTATTGCCCTTGCAGGCAGACGAGCATACGGCCCACCTGATGGTGAGTGGTTACCGTCGCCCATGGACTTCAGCAATGCCATGAGCAGAGCCAAGCCACTGCCTACCGCTTCATATTCTCCACAAGCCTCGTTTGAAGAAGGACATGTCATAGCGCTCGGGAAACACCGTGAAGGGGAGCTCATTCCATAGCCGGATGGTATGTGGCAAAAAAAGACCTCTGTAAGCGCACTGGCTCCAGGTAGTATGGATGAACTCTACTCCGGTGGCGGGCAGTGCGATGGTAAAAACGAGATGCCGGTATCATCTCGAACAATTCCTCAGAGCACTCCCCACGGAACATACGGTACAAAATACAGAGGGAACCGAAGTCCCTCCGCAGACCCAGAGGTTGCAAAAATTGGTATTGCCTACTACGGGCGTGTTGAGCCTCTGGAACCTGTCACCGTTCACTTCGAACTTGTCGCTTGCGACGAAGGGCTCGACGAGTAAATTAACCCTCAGACACAGCCCACTGAGTTTATCGTTGTTACATTAGTTTTTATTTTTTTATTTTAGGTCTTGAGTTCTCGCTGAATTTGTTATTATGTATATACAAAATGGACGTATATAGATTTATATAGATAACAAAGATTATCGTCCAATACTTTTAAATTTCAATGAAAATCACCCTCGTATATTTGATGCAAAGAGCTCAATTCTGAATCGTGCACAAAGTCGTTCGACTTTCCTTATTAATGTGATAATACGTATGTATACGTAAAAAATTCAGATAAAGAAATTAATTTTTATCGGTCACTACGTGAACAAGGTTAAGGCTTTATGCCAATCTTTCTCGGTCATTATCACGCAAGGACTTTGTTAAGACTTTGACTGCCGCGTAGGTCACCGGTGTCCTACGCCGGTGTCCGGAGTTCTAATTTCTCAGTATGGTTATAACGACTGCCCCGCCCTTCGAACCGAAACGCGTTACTGCTTCACGGGAGAACTAGGCAGGGTGGTGGTACCTACCCGCGCGGAGGCATTAGAGGTCCTACCACCAGTAATTACGCAAATTAAAATTTGCGGGTTTTGATTTTTATTACACGACTAGCTGACCCGGCAGTCTTCGTGGTGCCTCAATCGATAAATAAAAGACCGACGGGGAACTCATCAAAGGAAAAACAAAATTGTTATTTTTAATTAATTCCGAGCACTTTCATATATATATCTTTTACCTTTTAAACCTTCTCTAGACTTCCACAAATAATTCAAGACCAAAATTAGCCAAATCGGTCTAGCCGTTCTCGAGTTTTAGTGAGACTAACGAACAGCAATTAATTTATATATATATATATATATATATAGATATTACTGCTTCACCGTGGAAATTAATCGTGAACATTTGTTGAGCACGTATTTCATTAGAAAAATTGGTACCCGCCTGCGGGATTCGAACACCGGTGCATCGCTACATACGAATGCACCGGACGTCTTATCCTTTAGGCCACGCCGACTTCAGAAGAGATGTTTCAATGTAGCGCGCTACAATATCATTGTTAATCGTTCTGTCCGCAGTATGGGCGTCAACACATCGAGGTCGCGAAGAAGGTCAGCAGGAATGACAGCTCAGATGACGAGGACGCGATTCCCGCACCAGACGACAAACCACCGTCGGCTGTCGTCAAAGAAAATGGCGTTAACGGTAAGCTCATTAAGCTTATTGACTTCGAACTAGAGGTCCCGCAGTAGTCGAATTTCGACTATAATTAATTGGAATTGTAAGTTTGTACACCATTATGATTGTATTTTATACTTCTATTATCACTAATTTCGTCAAGACTACACTATAAAAATATTAACAAAGACAAACAATATTTAATCTATTCTCAATTTGACAGCAGACGTCAAGAACAAAAGTTTGACAATAAATAGTATGCATGCGTGTGTGCGTCAAATACATCGTATGTAGTGTGTGTAATGTTTTCTTTATTGATTTAATGTGTCTTACATGCATTATTTAAAAAAAAATTTTAGCATTGTGCACTTCTTCTCTATATTCTCTATAAGTGTGGGAAATTTCATACTCCTCCGTCCGCGCAATTTTCGTAAAAAGGGATACAAAGTTTTTGCTTCACGTATTAATATATAGATGCTGATGAACATACAGTCGGATTAATGGCCCGCGGACATCTACAGTGACCGTGACACGGTGTTTTTTTTTTCTATTTTTTTTATTACACTGGTGAGTGGACGAGCTCACGGCCCACCTCGAGTTAACTCTCTAAGGGCTCTCCTGTAAAATTGTAAAAGTGACGCTTAGATTGCGGCTTACACCCCTCGATATGCAATAGTGTTTTGATAATGTCGTTAACAAGATTAAGGCGTCTGTCAGTTTAGTCGTCTTGGGTTGTATTATAATGTCTTTCCAAACACAAATGGAGACAATAAAGTTTTTATTTAAGACGAACACAATATATAGAAAGAAGGAGAAAGTAACAAGAAATAGTTAGTCCAAGCAGCACAAGCAGGTAAACGAAATTAAAAGCAATAATTAAAAGGCGTAGTACAGAAAGAATAACACGGTATGCGCGCTCGCAAGTCAGATTTCGACTGGTGGCGGTGGATCGGTAAAAATGCGACCGATGTACTAGCGAAATATATCGCCGCCGCTATACTTCAGTTATCGCCTGACTTTGCTTGTGAATTTTATTTTGTTTAGTGTAAATAATGTTTTGTATGATTGTGTGATAAATGAATGTGTTGAAATAAAATAAAGTATGTATGTGTTGTTGTGTAGTGTAATTATAATAAAATAATATAAAATAAATAAATACATGTGCGTCACCCACAGTCAGATATCTTGTTTTTCTGTGAGGGATACCGCCACAGTATCTACTCATACGGGCTCACAATACTCAGAGAATGCTCTTGTCCATTCTCCGGTGATTTCACTAGTCGCTTACGACCCGCCGGAAAGAGATGGGGGGGGGGCTGCTCTAGAACACAAAACAACCTAATCTCGTGTGTTAAAAATGTGTATAAGCACGCAAGTATAAGCTTTACTGGTGGTAGGAGGTGAGTCCGCACGGGTAGGTACCACCACCCTGCCTATTTCTGCCGTGAAGCAGTAATGCGTTTCGGTCTGAGTGGCGGGGCAGCCGTTGTACCTATACTGAAATCTTAGAACTTTATCTCAAGGCGGGTGGCGCATTTACGTAGATGTCTATGGACTCCGGTAACCACTTAACAAAACGTGGACCGTCAGCTCGTCCGCCCATCTAAGCAATAAATAAAACATCTATCTATATATTAATACGTGAAGCAAAAACTTTGTATCCCTTTTTACGAAAATTGCGCGGACGGAGGAGTATGAAATTTTCCACACTTATAGAGAATGTAGAGAAGAAATGCACAATGATAATATTTTTTTAAATAAAGCATAAAAGATACATTAAATCAATAAAGAAAACATTACACACACTACATACCATGTATTTGACGCACACACACATAATAATATACTCTTTGTTTATTGTCAAACTTTTGTTATTGCTTAAAGTCTGTAGTCAAATTGAGAATAGGTCAGTATTGTTTATCTTTAATATTACGAGTATTTATCTATAGTGTGTAAGTCTTGGCGAAATCTGTAACAATAGGACCATAATAATGTTGAAACTTATAATTTCAATTAATTATAGTCGAATTTCGACTACTGCGGGACCACTAGTATAAATAGTTTTGTATATCAGCAATCAATTCCTGCTACTCTTGTAGGTACGAAGAATACTGTGATAGAAAGAGCAGAAATATTAGGACCTTCGCCAGAGTTGAACTACAAGAGAAGCTCCAGCCAGGAGAGGATGCAGAATGGGCACAGAACGGAAACCGGGAGTAAGGAGGTGAGCCAATGTGATATTTACATGATGGAATTTGAAATTTACAAAATTGGATATGTTGTTTATAAAATTGGATATGATGTTTATAAAATTGGATATGATGTTTATAAAATTGGATATGATGTTTATAAAATTGGATATGATGTTTATAAAATTGGATATGATGTTTATAAAATTGGATATGATGTTTATAAAATTGGATATGATGTTTATAAAATTGGATATGATGTTTATAAAATTGGATATGATGTTTATAAANTTAAAACTCTGCATGGTGGTTTTTTTTTAATGTTTAAAATAATTTCTGGAGAAATATAATAAAGGTAAAATTGCTCTAATTTTATCATCGATCATGTTCCGCAAAAACTTGATTGCGTACGGTGTGTGGGCTATCCTACGAAATCTATGTTAATTATTTTAAGTTTTTATAACATCATACAGGGTAGAAATATAAACGAGTTTTAATTTTAGTGAAATTTAAAATACTATAAAGTAAATGAAATTACAAATTTTACAGCGCCCCCCTAACCCACATCAACGCCCCCCATTTTTTCCTGGGCCCCTTAACGCCCCCCTCTAGGTTTCAAACGCCCCCCAGGGGGCGTTATCGCCCACTTTGAGAAAGACTGCTATATACGAATGCACTGGACGTCTTATCCTTTAGTCCACGACGACTTCAAAAGAGATGTTTCAATGTAGCGCGCTACAATATCATTGTTAATCATTCTGTCCGCAGTATGGGCGTCAACACATCGAGGTCGCGAAGAAGGTCAGCAGGAATGACAGCTCAGATGACGAGGACGCTATTCCCGCACCAGACGACAAACCACCGTCGGCTGTCATCAAAGAAAATGGCGTTAACGGTAAGCTCATTAAGCTTATTGACTTCGAACTAGAGGTCCCGCAGTAGTCGAATTTCGACTATAATTAATTGGAATTGTAAGTTTGTACACTATTATGATTGTATTTTATACTTCTATTATCACTAATTTCGCCAAGACTACACTATAAAAATATTAACAAAGACAAACAATATTTAATCTATTCTCAATTTGACAGCAGACGTCAAGAACAAAAGTTTGACAATAAATAGTATGCATGCGTGTGTGCGTCAAATACATGGTATGTAGTGTGTGTAATGTTTTCTTTATTGATTTAATGTGTCTTACATGCATTATTTAAAAAAAAATATTAGCATTGTGCACTTCTTCTCTATATTCTCTATAAGTGTGGGAAATTTCATACTCCTCCGTCCGCGCAATTTTGGTAAAAAGGGATACAAAGTTTTTGCTTCACGTATTAATATATAGATGCTGATGAACATACAGTCGGATTAATGGCCCGCGGACATCTACAATGACCGTGACACGGTGTTTTTTTTTTCTATTTTTTTTATTACACTGGTGAGTGGACCAGCTCACGGCCCACCTCGAGTTAACTCTCTAAGGGCTCTCCTGTAAAATTGTAAAAGTGACGCTTAGATTGCGGCTTACACCCCTCAATATGCAAGATTATTTTGATAATGTCGTTAACAAGATTCAGGCATCTGTCAGATATCTTGTTTTTCTGTGAGGGATACCGCCACAGTATCTACTCATACGGGCTCACAATACTCAGAGAATGCTCTTGTCCATTCTCCGGTGATTCCACTAGTCGCTTACCACCCGCCGGAAAGAGATTGGGGGGAGGGCTACTCTAGAACACAAAACAACCTAATCTCGTGTGTTAATAATGTGTATAAGCACGCAAGTATAAGCTTTACTGGTGGTAGGAGGTGAGTCCGCACGGGTAGGTACCACTACCCTGCCTATTTCTGCCGTGAAGCAGTAACGCGTTTCGGTTTGAACGGCAGGGTAGCCGTTGTAATGTTAAAAACCTTGAAACCTTGAAACTTGCGTCTCAAGGTGGGCATCGGCATTTGTAGATGTCTATGGGCTCCGGTAACCACTTGACAAAACGTGGACCGTCAGCTCGTCCGCCCATCTAAGCAATAAATAAAACATCTATCTATATATTAATACGTGAAGCAAAAACTTTGTATCCCTTTTTACGAAAATTGCGCGGACGGAGGAGTATGAAATTTTCCACACTTATAGAGAATGTAGAGAAGAAGTGCACAATGATAATATTTTTTTAAAATAATGCATAAAACGATACATTAAATCAATAAAGAAAACATTACACACACTACCATGTATTTGACACACACACACACATATACTCTTTGTTTATTGTCAAACTTTTGTTATTGCTTAAGGTCTGTAGTCAAATTGAGAATAGGTTAGTATTGTTTATCTTTAATATTACGAGTATTTATCTATAGTGTGTAGTCTTGGCGAAATCTGTAACAATAGGACCATAATAATGTTGAAACTTGTAATTTCAATTAATTATAGTCGAATTTCGACTACTGCGGGACCACTAGTATAAATAGTTTTGTATAATATCGCCATATCAATTCGTGCTACTCTTGTAGGTACGAAGAATACTGTGATAGAAAGAGCAGAAATATTAGGACCTTCGCCAGAGTTGAACTACAAGAGAAGCTCCAGCCAGGAGAGGATGCAGAATGGTCACAGAACGGAAACCGGGAGTAAAGAGGTGAGCCAATGTGATTGATATAAATTACATGATTGAATTTGAAATTTACAAAATTGGATATGTTGTTTATAAAATTGGATATGATGTTTACAAAATTGAATTTGATGTTTATAAAAATGAACTTCATGTTTATAAAATTGAATTGGATGCTTATAAAATTGAATTTGATACATATAAAATTAAATTTGATATTTACAGAATTGAATTTGATATTTACAAAATTGAATTTGAGGGTTATAAAATTGAATTTCGTGTTTACAAAATTGTAATTTACGTTTACAAAATAGAATTTAATATTTATAAAATTGAATTTGATGTTTATACAATTGAATTTGATACATATAAAATTAAATTTGATATTTACAGAATTGAATTTGATATTTACAAAATTAAAAATGATGTTTATAAAATTGAATTTCGTCTTTACAAAATAGAATTTGATGTTTATAAAATTGAATTTGATATTTACAAAATTGAATTTGAGGGTTATAAAATTGAATTTCGTGTTTACAAAATTGTAATTTACGTTTACAAAATAGAATTTAATATTTATAAAATTGAATTGGATGCTTATAAAATTGCATTTTATGCTAATAAAATTGAATTTTATGCTAATAAAATTAAATTTGAAGTTTATAAAATTGAATTTGAAGTTCCTTATACCTTATACGCCGATTCAAGATAATAAAATGCAATTTAGTCTTCGATCTCACATCTCTAAAGTCGGTGGCGGCGGTCCATTGGGTCCTAAGACTCGAGAGTTTTGATTTCCCCTTAAATTGGTCGATTTATTAGTCGTATCTATACAAATTGCAGACGAATTTGGATTTCCACCTGTCCCACTGCCTCGACTTGGTGAAAGCCGGAATGGAGTCTATAATCGAAGACCAGGTCACCTCGGTCTTCGAAGCGGAGGAGCTGAGGAGTTGGAACTTGTTGACGAGAACCAACCGGTATGAGTTGTGTTATTGATGTGTGATTGTGGATGGGAAGGTTTGAAGGTTTGCGTCATAGTACCGTCTGTAAGGTTTATGTCATATAGTTATTTATTAAGTGAATTTATAGTAATAATAAATTCGAATAGTAATAAGAAATTCGACTATAATTGAAATTATAAGTTTGAGCAACGCACCCTATGGCTGGACGAGCTCACAGCCCACTTTGTGCCAAGTGGTTACCGGAGCCCATAGACATCTACAACGTAAATGCGCCACCCACCTTAAGATAAGAGTTCCAAGGTATTGCTACAACGGCTGCCCCACCCTTCAAGTAGAAACGCATTACTGCTTCACGGCAGAAATAGGCAGGGTGGTGGTACTATACCCGTTCGGACTAATAAACTAATCTAAGCAATAAGAAAGAAAAAAACACCAGTCAATGTGTTTAAAAATCTATCGGATGTTTTTGCAGACAGTACGAGTTCCTGACTTGGAGACTCACGATCATCTGGATGATGGGTTTCGTCGTTAGATACATGTTTCTGCTCCCATTGAGGATACTGATCTTCGTTTGCGGGGTGCGTATGCTTTATCGACGCCATAATACTGTAATAATATCGAGGGATGAAAGAAAGGCTAATTGGTTAAAGCAACATTTTTGCAAAGTCACAAGAGAGCTAATTAATTGACTGGATTCACTGGTGGTAGGACCTCTTGTGAGTCCGCGCGGGTAGGTACCACCGCCCTGCCTATTTCTGCCGTGAAGCAGTAATGCGTTTCGGTTTGAAGGGTGGGGGCAGCCGTTGTAACTATACTTGAGACCTTAGAGCTTATAACTCAAGGTGGGTGGCACATTTACATCAGATATGTCTATGGGCTGTGAGCTCGTCCACCCATATAAATAATAAATAAAAAATTCAAGTTAAATTAGAAACATCGGACTGTCGATGCTGATATCAAATAAAGCGGACCTTTAATTACAAAGATAAATGTTGCTTAAACCAAATAACCTTTCACCCTCCAATATAATATACCTTTTGGGTAGGGTCGACATAAAAACATTTTTTTTGAATAGGTGAATTTTTTTTTTGTCAAGCATTAATGCGTTCCAGTATTCTATATAAATGAGATTACGACTTCATGTCTCAAAGTGTGCGGCGGAATTCAAGTTTTGAGGTAACCGCTTAACGCTAGATGGGTCCTGAGATGTTCTATGAGTCTAGCAGGATCAAGTCTGATCAGGTTATTCAACAATTGTAGTGATGTTATTCAATGATAGTATAGTCAGGTTAAGCAATTATATTAATCAGGTTAGTCAATGATAGGGTTTAAGTTAGGTAATGATCGGAATCAATTGATTCAATGATAGTAATCCGATTAGGTAATTATATTAATCAGGTTAGTCAATTGTTGGGTTTAAATTAGGTAATGATCGGAATCAATTGATTCAATGATAGTTGTCAGTTAGGTTATTACATTAATCAGGTTAGTCAATGATTGGGTTTAAATTAAGTAAAGATCGGAATCAATTGATTTAATGATATTAGTAAGATTAGGTAATTATATTAATCAGGTTAGTCAATGATTGGGTTTAAATTAGGTAATACCGGAGTCAATTGATTCAATGATAGTAGTCAGGTTAGGTAATTATATTAATCAGGTTAGTCAATGATGGGGTTTAAGTTAGATAATGATCGGAGTCAATTGATTGAATGATAGTAGCCAGATTAGGTAATCACATTAATCAGGTTAGTCAATGATTGGGTTTAAATTAGGTAATAATCGGAGTCAATTGATTCAATGATAGTAGTCAGGTTAGGTAATTATATTAATCAGGTTAGTCAATGATGGGGTTTAAGTTAGATAATGATCGGAGTCAATTGATTGAATGATAGTAGCCAGATTAGGTAATTACATTAATCAGGTTAGTCAATGATTGGGTTTAAATTAGGTAATAATCGGAGTCAATTGATTCAATGATAGTAGTCAGATTAGGCAGTTATATTAATAAGGTTAGTCAATGATTGGGTTTAAATTAGGTAATGATCAGAGTCAATTCATTCAATGATAGTAGTCAGATTAGGCAATGATTGCGGTCAGTTTATTAAATCGTTTTAATGATTGTGTAAGCGTGACGACAGGTATTCACAATGATAGTCACAACGACGCTGGTCAGCACGCTACCGTCTGGTAGGGTGAGGCGTTACCTCGGCGCTGTCTCCTACAAAATCTCCATCCGCGTACTGATACGAAGTCTGTCGTGCGTGATAACGTTCCACGACCAGCAGCACATGCCGAAATCGAACGGCTTCTGTGTCGCCAATCACACGAGCCCGATCGATGTGGCCGTCGTCAGCGTGAACACGTGCTTCTCATTGGTAGGAGGATCCGTCTGGAGTTTTTATCTTATTGGTCTTATTTTAGAGGGTGGTTTCATGTCTGTGCACGCTTTTATGTTGTCGGTATGTTGAGGGGCGCTACCTTTGATCCCGTTCACACAGGGTTGTGTTCTCGTTCACACGGGGTGTTTCGACAAAGCGTTTTCGCTCAGTACCTCATGTGTAATACGTGTGTGAGTTCATACGTTTCCGCGTGCCACATGCGTTCTTGTGGTTTTTAACTGGCGTCAAAAAAAATAATTAAGTCGAGTAATGACAGAAGATAATAAAATTTCCTGTTGCAGTTAAAAATATTATTGGCAACACTTTCGTTTCGATGTAATCTTTGCGTCATTACCCGATTGGGATGCATGTTAAATGAATAATGAATTTACGAGGGAAATTTTAAACTGGCAAACAACTGTTCATTAACGGGTGATATATAATATATACATCTCTCTCGTTCGCACTTATTTCAGTTTTATAAGTGCGAATAGGACAGATGATCGACTAATAATAATAGTTGAGCGACGTAATCATTCGAACGTCGGAAATTTGTTTGGGTCGCTAACGGGGCAAATTGGGCAGGTCTGGTGGTTGGTACTATGCACCGCTCTCGTTGGCTGCGTACCGGAAGGAAGCCTCAAGAAACGTCTCAATAGGACGGTGGCATTAATGTGCTTCAGCTTCCTGGCCAGGAGTATATCGGCGGTGATAACTTACCACGACGCGAGGCACAGGCCGGCCGAGGGCGGAATCTGCGTAGCGAATCACACTAGCCCCATAGACGCTCTGGTATTGATGTGTGATAACTGCTATTCACTGGTGAGTACCAACAGAAACGTGCTACACGAGGTGAGCCTCTGAGCGTTAAGGCTAGCGGTGGATTAGAAAGTACTACTAACACCATCTAGGAAGCGAGGCACGTCACTAATATCGTTACTACTGCTGACTACGCCATCTAGGAAGCGAGGTAGGTTACTAATTGCCAACAACGCCATCTAGTTTGCTTAAACCCGTCCTTACGATGTACGTGCGGCAATGATCGGAGCGCTGGCGCCTCTGCATTCAGAACGGTAAGCTGTAAATGTATTGTTCAGTTTTTGAAGTGAAACTTCTTTAGGCGCGTTGAGAGTAAAATTTAACTCGGGACAGATTTGTTACGGTTAGAGAGAAAAGATACAATTAAGGACGAGCGAGAGTGAGAGAATAGACAGAGCGTCTCGCGAACCACTGAAGAGAGCGAGCTAGGATGTTATTTAGTTAAGCAACATCTATTGGGTTTCATATAAGCTATTAAATTTCAAGGTTAACAGTTTATACAGCTTAGTCCCTAAAATATTTAAAGAAATACCGCTCATTTTAAATAAAAGTAATGTCTTAAATTATTGCTAAAAATATTATTAAGCAAAACCTAAGGATTCATTCGGTAATCATCGAATACCTGCAACAACTTTTTTCTAAGTTTTATTTTTTGGGATACGTTGAAGTTTCACTTCTCTCAGAGGTACTTTGAAGTTTCACTTCTCTCAGAGGTACGTTGAAGTTTCACTTCTTCCACACGCACCAAGTTGCACGCACCGTTTTTTTTTCTTTAAATTTAATTTGAATAACTCAGTTGTCGGCGCCCGGTTTCCCTTTGTGATTTGTCCTTCTAACCTGAACTGACAGAGAAAACTAGTCGGATCTAACTAATATAGTATATATATGTATGTAAATATCATTAACCCGCATTGTGTATGGCACGGCACGTATGTAAATAACAGACATTTTAACCTCTTCAATGACGAATTTTTAATGTACATAATAAATACATATTTGTTAATTAAATTTGTTCATTTTATATTGCAAAACAATTCAATGAGTCAATAAATAATTAAAAAACAAAATTATGCATAATATGACAAATGTCTTTGAAGAGGTCAATTTAAGTATAAAGATATTAATATTAACATTTATGAATGTCCTATGATGTTTCTTTGTTGCCAAGTGTATTAGCGAATATACAAAGGCATGTTCTGATACAATATCTGTTTCTAAGCGATGTGTATCGAAGTATTTTGTGCAAAGTAGTGAAATAAGATGTTATTTATTTGATTTTTAATCACATTATTGATTAAACTACACGAGGTATGTATAAATATTTATGTATATGACCTGTCGTAATATTGTTTAAATATAAAATGTTTGTCATTTTGCTAAATATGTTTTTGATAATAGATCGAAGACTGAATTCTCGAAAATTAGAGCCAAAAGGTCGTTGTCTGTAAAGTTGATTTACGGACGATAGCTCTGACGTCACGCTAGAAGAGAGATAAATGTGTCACGAGCCAACGCTTGGGCTGATCGTGCCTCTCTATCGGTTGTTCCGCGCTCTCGCTCGCACGCTCAGGCGGAACGTGACACTTTTTATTCGACTTCAAAAAGGAGGAGATTCTCAATTCGACTGTTTTGTTTTTTTTATGTTTGTCACCTCATAACTATTGACCGAGTGAATCGATTTTGATGATTCTTTTTTTATTAGAAAGCTGACGCTTCTCGTTTGGTAACATTTCAATTTAGTCCAGTTCTGATAATGGTATCCATGAGAAAACCATATAAGTGTTAAATTTGCATTAAGTACGTGCGCGACAAATAGATGAATAACTAAATAACTCAATATCGCGCCAACCGATTTCGATGATTATTGTTTTTAGTGTATATTCAGTTATTTTGGAATATCTTTGTTTTTTTCTATTTGAAGTCGGTTTTGTTAAAGCATGTCTATATACAATTATTCGTTCGCGCAGCCGGTGATCATCGATTCATGAGACGTTGTCACATCAAAAAAAAAGTCCTGTAATCTTATACTTATCTTTGGATGTTCTTATCTGTATAATCGTTTTAAATCAGGGGTTCCCAAACTTATTTTGTCGACTGCCCACTTTGAGGAGAATAAATTCATTTTTATCGCCCCCTATTTTTCATCTACTGAAAAACCACTATAGCAAGAGCTCAGTTAAGAGTAAGAGTCCTCCTAAATGACATTACAAATCGCCTCCCAAGCCTCTAGACAATGCCCTCATTATTTTTCTGGGTCTCTTACCGCCCCCCTTTAGGCCTGCAACGCCCACAAGGAGGCGTTATCGCCCACTTTGGGAAAGACTGGTTTAAATAAATAAAAGTTTACGCCTGAAATGGTCGTCGCTAAAATAAAATTGAAGTTACGTCACCTTCTGGTTTCGGCGACCGCTTAACATCAACCATAAACGACAGTACAACAATAAACATTACAATTGGATGATGACTTTTTGGTTTTAATTTTTACGAGATATTCAGTTTCATGATGTGTACATACAAATAAGGGAGGTTCATAATTTTATTATTAATGTTTGTTCGTCTGTTTGCGTTTTAATTATGGGTAAACGTTTGTGAATATTTGGTATAGTTTTTTTTTTAACTCTATTTATTATTGAACGAAATAAATTCGATTCATTATCGATTTTTAACTGATTTCGCTTTTTATGATATAAAAATTTTCTCATCCGTAAACAAATTTTTTCTATGATCTCCCTTTGCGTACCGCTTCAGTAGTTGTTTCGATTTTACCACCCTATTCTCTTTTAAATTATCAGTTAAAAAATGACCAGTACGTCTCTTATAGGCTGCAAGTCCTAACTCATCTTTTAAAATATGCGACATGGTTCTAGGTGTTATCTCCCGAGATAAAATCTTTTGCTTTCGGACAGGATTTTTTCGAATTCTTTCCCTTACTGCTTTGACCACCTTTTTTGTACGAACACTACGTGGACGGTCAAATCTTTTTCTGTCACAAGCAGAGGAGGTCTCATTGCATCTATTAATAGCCCGGTACACAAATATTTTACTAATACCAAGCGTATGGAGAGTTTTAAAAATTGCATTTGGCTCTATACGTACTTTTTGTAATGCAATCACAGCGATTCGGTTCTCTTTATCACCCCACTCCATTTTAATATCGCAAAATATTGTACAATGTATTGGCGCCAAAATGAGAAAACTCAATGAGCAATCATATAAAAATGACAGATTCCAAATTCAAATGTAATATTTTGTTTATTTTTAATTGTAACAGTATTTACGGCCAGACTAACTATGTATATGTAAAGAAATTATGCAATGAGGAAAAATTGCGTTTTTTGTACAAATATTAAGAGAAAACAAAATGTAAAACTTTTATTTTCCTCAAATTATTATTTTACACAGTATGATTGAATGAAGTCCTCTTGTTTTTTTCTCAATGACAGAGAGTTCAATCAATCTATACGAATAAGAAAAAAAAATTTTTTTTAAACTAAATTGTTTCAAAGGTTTTACATAAAAATTACATAAAAAAGGTTTTTCTTCACATATACATGTTTGTGTGTAGATTGGACAGAGGCACGGAGGATTCCTCGGTCTCCTACAGAGGGCTCTCGCGCGGGCGTCCCCTCACATTTGGTTCGAGAGGTCGGAGGTTAAAGACAGGCACGCCGTCGCGAGGAGGTGAGTTTGAAATCGTAATGAGCAGTGTCCTAATGTTTGTGACGGGTTCGAACGAATTTCGGCCATAATAACCACAGCTCAAGACTCTTTTTTGTTTTTATTGCTTAGGTGGATGGACAAGCTCACAGCCCACCTGGTTTTAAGTGGTTACTGGAGCCCATAGATCTCTACAACGTAAATGCGTCATCCACCTTGAGATATAAGTTCTAAGGTCTCAGTATCGTTACAACGAATGCCCCGCCCTTCAAACTGAAACGCATTACTACTTCACGGCAGGGCATAAATATAGGGCAAATAGGGCAAAAACCTCCACCAGCTTAATCTTTGTCTGGGTGTTCAATATATCGACTTCAAAGAAAGCGGTATTGTCGTAACTTGAGAACCCCAACTTTACACCAGAACTTTTACTGGTGGTGTGAGTCCGCACGGGTAGGTACCACCACTCTGCCTATTTCTACCGTGAAGCAGTAATACGTTTCGGTTTGAAGGGCGGGGCAGCCGTTGTAACTATACTGAGACCTTACAACTTATATCTCAAGGTGGGTGGCGCACTTGCATTGTAGATATCTATGGGCTCCGGTAACCACTTAACACCAGGTGGGCTGTGAGCTCGTTCACCGAACTAAGCAATAATAAAAAAAGAGCCTGATCCAAATGTTTTTTTTTTTTTTTTTTCACTCAGACTAAAAGAACACATATCGGTCGCTGACAATCCTCCGATACTGATATTTCCCGAAGGCACCTGCATAAATAACACGTCGGTGATGCAGTTCAAGAAGGGGAGCTTCGAAGTCGGCGGCACTGTCTACCCAGTGGCAATCAAGTGAGTTCACCCTCAGACACAGCCCACTGAGTTTCTCGCCGGATCTTCTCAGTGGGTCGCGATTCCGATCCGGTGGTAGATTCTGCGAAGCACGGCTCTTGCTAGGGTCGGTGTTAGCAACGTCGTCAGGTTTGAGCCCCGTGAGCTCACCTACTAGTTAAGGTTACGCTGATATAGCCTCTCAAGGGTATCAGCTTAGATAGGAAAAAAAATCAAGTGATTTGAGCTTAATTAGGTCTGCGAGCTTCACGTGTGAGTCACTAAGGTCGATCGTTCTCGAAGGATATCCGCTCCAAGCAATGGGCTTATGCTAATATATGCTACTAGTGACCCGCCCTCGCTTCGCTTCGGAAACTGTAATTTATTATTGATTTATCAACTATTTAATGGATGTTATTATACATATAAACATTCCTCTTCAATCACTCTATCTATTAAAAAAAACCGCATCAAAATCCGCTGCGTAGTTTTAAAGATTTAAGCATACATAGGGATATAAAGACAGAGAAAGCGACTTTTTTATATTATGTAGTGATTTTTAATACGCTTTTATTAGCTTCAGACGTATGTATGTTAGTATGTAACGGAATCTTTGAACATGATTTTGACCCCCTTCAAAACGTCGAATTAACTCGAAATTTGGTATACTTATTAAGGACCGATGAAAATTCAATAATAAAAAAAACAAAATTGAAAAAAATGAAATTCAACTAAAAAATGAAAAATTTATAATAGTTTTAAAAAACCAACAAAATACGTCTTTATAGAAAATCCAACTAAAAAATAGAAAATAAATGTGTAACGTCTCGTCAGCACGATTCAGGAATTGTTGAATTTACGTGCAGCGACATCTGTTGATAACAAACTAAATAGAAATAATTGTAAATCATCTTTTATAGTATGAGGTGGCGCCCTCTGTGAATTGATGAATGAACTTCACGTTTCATTTTTTTTCGTTTCATCGAGTTTGAAATCACATCAGAACGATTCTAAAGAAGTTTCACTTCGAAAAACACATATTTATCAGTACCGGATAACTTCACACCGCGATTCCGCCCCTCCAGGTACGACCCTCGTTTCGGGGACGCATTCTGGAACAGCTCTCGTTACGGGATGCTCCACTACCTGCTGAACATGATGAGCTCGTGGGCGATAGTCTGCGACGTGTGGTACCTGCCGGCGATGTCCCGGCGCCCGGACGAGACCGCAGTCGACTTCGCGAACCGGGTCAAGTCGGTCATAGCCAGACAGGGCGGCCTCATCGACCTGCAATGGTGAGTCGACCAGCCCCAACGCCAAACTGTCGTTGGAACGATGCATCCTTTGAAACGCTTTAACATAGGTATGGCGCGATTCTGTGAGACTGGTAACGCCATCTAGTGAACAAGGGTAATTATAACTAGATGAAATAAAGACAAAATAAATAATATTACTGGTGGTAGGACCTCTTGTGAGTCCGGACGGGTGGGTACCACCGCCTTGCCTATTTCTGTCGTGAAGCAGTGATGCGTTTCGGCTTGAAGGGCGGTGCAGCCGTTGTAACTATACTGAGACCTTAGAACTCATGTCTCAAGGTGGGTGGCTGCTTTAACGTTGTAGATGTCCATGGGCTCCGGTAACCACTTAATATCAGGTAGGCCGTGAGCTCGTCCACCCATCTAATGAATAAAAAAAATTTAGTTTATTTATATATTTGGTCGTAGCTTATTAGTCTCATTAAATGTTGATACATTTTTTTTTGTGTATTCTTCTAGGGACGGACAGTTAAAGAGAACGAAAGCGAAGAAGGAGTGGAGGGAGCTCCAGCAAGAGGAGTTCAGTAAGAGGTTAAAAGTGGAATAGGGGATGTGGGGGGGGACGGTTGCGGTGTTGGGTCCCCCCGGGGATCGACATAGGGGATCCTTCGAATGAACTATTCTCGTGCGGGTTGCGAATGAAGGTGTTTTGATGTGCTGATCGTTTGGGGTGGGGCTCGTGTGCGCGGAGCCGGGGGTTCGAGTTTGGTTATAGCGCGTATCCGAATTCTTTAATGGCGACATAATTCGCACATACGGTGCTATGATACTATATATCGACGCTTGAAAGGCAAACGTGACTAAGCGAAAATGCGTGAACTTTACAGTAGACTAATTTAAAGTTGAAATACCTGAAAAAAATTCTATTTTAACGAATCTGAAGCTGTAGGATTGAAATGATTTTAATAGATCTAGAAATATATATATATATATTTTTTGCGCATCGAATACGGTTATTACCTATCATTTATGTACAAAGCAGTTATTGTCGCTTAGTCACGTTTGCCTTTCAAGCGTCGATATATAATATACAGGGTGTTAGGAGATTGCTTCTGAAAACGAAGACAGATGATAGTACTAATGACACCTTTGATGATGGGATGAAAAAAATCGATGATGATTTAAAAAAAAACATATCTTTAAAACGTTTTATTAGCATTATTTACGCTCCATCGCATTAGTACAGGTAAATAAAAACGATAGTTTCATAAAAAATACATTACTTTACTAATAAAAAAAAAGTGCGTGCGTACAAAGTACACATGTCAGAAGTGAAACTTTTTTGGCAAACTAATTTATAAGTCTTGATTATATTTATACAAATCTAAAACTTTAGATTTCCGAGACTTAGAGGAAGAGAAAAAGGAAGATATGTTTCCGCCAAAAGTCTGTCAAATGTCAATCTCAAACATCAGTGTTGACATTATGTTTAGATTTCTAAATTGTAAATGACTAATATTTTGCCAATTGAATTGACTAATTTAATGTCATGCTATTTGATTAATGTTCCAAATTCTTTTCATTTCATTTTAATTCCTATTAACATTTTTCACACAAAAAATTATAATATATTAGGCTGTATGGTATGATACATTTGCCTTTCCAGTTGGAAAAATACAACAACAACTACTACTGACATTTGACAAGTACTTAATTTCAATAGTAGTTTGATGTCACTTCCGTTGCATACCTGCGTGACGTTCTGTAAAAATGTTACCCTCATGCGCCTAAAGAAGTTTCACTTCAAAAACCGGCAATGAAACGCAAAATTAAAAACAGCTGATCCTCGGGTCAACGAACGCCCGGACTCGCGCGATCACACATACTTATTTACAACATTTGTCTAAATAACTCCATCATTAGTACTACTGGTTTTTACTGGTGGTAGGACCTCTTGTGAGTCCGCGCGGGTAGGTACCACCATCCCGCCGATTTCTGCCGTGAATCAGTAACGCGTTTCGATTTGAAGGACGGGGCAGCCGTTGTAACTATACTGAGACCTTAGAACTCTTATACCTCAAGGTGGGTGGCGCATTTACGTTGTAGATGTCCATGGGCTGCGGTAACCACTTAACACCAGGTGGACTGTGAGTTCGTCCGAGCAATAAGATAAAAATAAAAATCCTCTGTCCTCGTTTTTGGAAGCATTTTCCCAGTATATAACACTATATGGCATTATAATGTCTCTTATATAGTTTTTGTTAAAATTGAGCTGGGTTTGTATGAGAAAATAGATTTTTTTAATATGTATGTAGTTAGTTATTAGTGAAATGTTTTTGCTTTTACTCATGAAGTTTAAAGTTGTAGTTTGGTAATATAGTATTATCAATTTATTTCTTTAGTGGAGATGAATTTATATAATTGTAATTTAAGAATGTTGAATTTTCAAACGTGTTACTCCTGAAAAATTACATAATTTGCATAAATGATGTTATAATAATAATAATTTCTTTATTTATCTATTTATCAGATAATAATTCATGAATGAATAGAAAATAAAAGAAAATAGGCAATTCGGTAGGCAGCGGCTTGGCTCTGCCCCAGGCATTGCTGAAGTCCATGGGCGACGATAACCACCGCCCTCAGGTGGGCCGTAAGCTTTTTTTTTAATTTTTTTTTTTTAAAATAATAATTTTTTTTTTTTTGTTGCTTAGATGGGTGGACGAGCTCACAGCTCACCTGGTGTTAAGTGGTTACTGGAGTCCACAGACATCTACGACGCAAGGAAATGCGCGACCCACCTTGAGAGACAAGTTCTAAAGTCTCAGTATAGTTACAATACATATTTATAATTACTTTTTTTTAAATGCACCTTTTTTTGAAGTGAAACTTCTTTAAGCGCAATAAGGGTAAAATTTAACTCGTGACAGATTCGTTACGGCTAGAGAGAAAAGATACAATTTATTACGAGCGAGAGTGAGAGAACAGACAGAGCGTCTCGCGAACCACTCGACCGTGGAGAGAGAGAGAGCGAGCTAGGTTGTCTCTCTCATACACATTCTGTTTGCGGGCGTCGGTCACTAGAGGGCTCGTTATTAGTTTCCCATTGCTCTTGTAGATGACAGTGACATATTAGCTTATATTCTATTTGTAATGAAATATTTAAAAAAAGGTTTATTTTTCTAAATATAATTTAAAATAATTGGTGAAGAGGTCGTTTCTCTCATGCACAGCATTCCCTATTACAAGAGAAATTTAATTCAAGGATGACAAATGAAGAAATCCACAATACACACTACATACCGTAAAAGAAGTTTAACTTCTTCCATGCGAATATTTTTATTTTTAATTTGAATGTAGTCAAAACATCTCGGTCATCGGCGGACACGAAAACTGTGGAGTGTTCGTTACGTTGAAATTTTATTTACGAGAATAAATTCGTAAAAGTTATTTTAATTATTTATTTATTTATTTATTAACGGTAATACGATTAAGTCGCTTTTGCTGTAGCTTACCTTACAAATGAATGGATGTCAATTTAAATACAACACATATACCAGTAATTATTAATTAAATTCGTGGACCGCTGTAGGCGAATACTGATGATGAATTAAATTCAAATTCTTTTGTAACACATCAAGTGATTTATAGTATAAAAGGGTCAAATAAAAAAGTGTTTTTGTTTTTAATAACACCGTATGACGTCATAAGTGGCTAAGCGTTAGTGATTTTTTTATTATTATTATTACGTAGATAGTTGAACGAGCGCACGGCCCGCTTGTTGTTAAGTGTGCTACTGGAGTCCACTGACGTTCTAATGTGAATTTCGTTGCCTTTTTAACTAAAACGTGCGGAATAACTTACCGCCACTACTAAACGCGGATTGTCGATCGCAGTCAATAATACTCAGAGAATGCTGCTATCCATTCTCCACTGGATCCCTTAGTCGCTTCCGACAACCCGGGTAGACAGGGGAGGGGGGTTATTTAAGGACGGCACACGGCACGGATAATACATTGCTCCTCCTTCATCTTGGCCCCAAATGACGTCACGCTACGAGAATCCAGTCAAACGAAGAGTCCATCAATGTTTTGTTCGCGCGAGAAGTCACCGGTCCCCATTGATATTGTGATGATCAGTGATCAGGAACTAAGTTTGTTTTTTATATATATATGTGTATATGTAAAGAAAGCGTTGTGATTTATTTAATTTATTAATGAAAAACTGACGTGTTAGCTGCCATGTCTATGTGTCGTGGCCAGTGATAGGACGCGGGTAGTTTCGTTTTTGTAATAACCTTTTTGAATGGATGTTTGATGGTGTATAGTGGTATGGTAAACGGTGTAGCGACCTGACCGGTAGATGTCGTTATGTGGTCATTTCAACCCAGCGCCATCTGTCAGTTCCAGTAACAAATGTAAATCGTACGACTGGAATATACTTGAGGGTAGAAATAAAGACTATTGACTCAGTGTATTAAAAAGTGTTCGCTGAATGAGAGCCAATGAAGTTGGCGCCACTGTAGCAAAAGGAGAGATTTTAAAAACAGCGCCAATAACTATTAGGATATTAAATTAAGAAAGACAGAAATACTTCCTACGTTAAAATAGTAATAGATATAAATAGTTGTGATTTTAAATACGGCATGTTTTTTTAACTACACAAGTTACAGAAGCTTTTTTTTTGATACGCTTTTATTAGCTTCAGACGTATGTATGTATGAATGTATGTTTGTAACGGAATCTTTGAACATGATTTTGACCCCCTTCAAAACGACGGATTAACTCGAAATTTGGTATACTTATTAAGGAGCGATGACAATTCAATATTTAAAAAATAAAAGAAAAAAAGTTGAAATTCAATTAAAAAATTACAACAACAAAATACGCTTTTATAGAAAATGTAAATAAAAAATAGAAAATAAATTTTAATAAATTTGAATTAAAAATAGTGTAAGAAAAAAAAATATTGTAAAAAAAGCGTGGGGTGCTTTTCAGGATATTATCAAAATAACCCTTCAACTCATATCTGTTCATAAAATATTTATAACTACTGATACCATGCACCCCACGCTTTTTTACAATAAAATCATTTTTTCTTACACTATTTTTAATTCAAATTTATTTTCGATTTTTTAATTGGATTTTCTATAAAAGCATATTAAAAGCGTAGTTTTTTTAAACTATTATTTAGTTCAATGTATCACGCTTCACTCTGCTTAAAACTGCTATATTCATATCATTTCCACTTACTACACTAGCGCTATGTCGGGGAGTCTTCCAACAATAGCTCGCTGGTTACAGACGGACACTTTTTAAACTTGTCCCCTATACAAGGTCCTGACTTCTCTCTAAAATTATTCCAGCCGTTTCTAATTGTCATCGAATACACGGACAGAAGAATTGTATATAAATAGATTAGAGACAATAATTTAATGATTTGAAGTCACGTCAACACTAGGCTGCCAGACATGACAGTTAACATGGCAATAAATAAAATTAATTTGTTTTTTTTTATTTAATTATATTTTGTAATCTTGTAGACATAATCGGTGTAATAATAAATAGTATTATTAAATATTTTTACGAGTAATTGTGGGTTGTTTTATTGTTTTTTTTTTATTAGTATTATTAACTCTGACTCTTTCAAATACTTTTTTCTTGATTTGTCCAGTAGTGGATGTATGTGGGCTAATAGAATAGAATAAAATAGAACTCTGACTGCCACATATATTTCTTCATTGCATAGATGGGTGGACGAGCCCACGGCCCTCCTGGTGTTAAGTGGTCACCGGAGCCCATAGACATATACAACATAAATGCCGCCACCCACCTTGAGATACGAATTCTAAGGTCTTAGTTTTTACAGTACAACGGTTACCCCACCCTTCAAACCGAAACGCATTACTGCTTCACGGCAGAAATAGGTGGGGCGGTGGTACCTACCCGTGCGGACTCGCAACACGTCCTACCATCAGGAAATCTATCTATGTATATTTTTAAACTTATTTAAGTATGTATATCAGTCACCGGCACAGGGACCCCTTAAATTGGGGCCATTGCGACATGACCTAGTGCGACTTGTTCCTTATTGTTACGCCGGTAAGAGTTGCGCCGTCTATCGCCGAATAGTCGAACGAATATCGAATGATCTAGTACCACTTAGAATACTAGAGAAGTACAACGCCATCTATTGTCAGATAGCGGAAACATAATACTCGACATGTGTGGAATATTCTCGATAATTCTAGGGATGTGGTATCGACTATAAAGCGTTGTAGAGATGGCACGCCGTCAGTGATCGGAACTACTCGAAGCGAAACAGCGAACGGATCACCTGAAGCGAAGCGGAACAAGCGAATTGAGAATTTTAAAGTGTTTGGGAAGTGTTTTGTGTTCTAAGTGCTAATAAAGTGTTAGTTTACACTTCGGTGGAATTTTATTTATCCCGAACCCCAGCGCGTAACATTATTATAATCGGAACGAAGTTCCTTATCGCGCGTTGTGAAAGGGAGCTACACGGAAAAAATTCTTACGAAAAGTTGTCACGACACTTTAGATCCGTCATTCTGACCAATCAACATGTAGGCGCTTATCGCGTGACATTGCTCGTATCCGATTGGTCCGCGTAATGAGTACAGATTCTCGAGATAGCGTTTCAACAATAGTAATTTAGTTCATAGTATTGTCTTTTTCTTCTTCATAATGCCGTAATTTATTATTATATCTTTAAAAAAAAATTACAATTCCTTCACTAATTAATCGAAAGGAACTTCGTTCCATCCGGGTGTCCCTTGACACTTCTGAAGTTTTTATTTTTTTTATTGCCCTTGTAGGCAGACGAGCGCACGGCCCACCTGATGGTGAGTGGCTACCGTCGCCCATGAACTTCAGCAATGCCAGAGACAGAGCCAAGCCGCTGCCTACCGCTTAATACTGTCCACAAGCCTCGTTTGAAGAAGGACATGTCATATGATACTTGACAATAAACTCTTCACTTCCGAATATTCCTTGCTGCTTTTCTTAGTTGTTGGAATTCATTGAGCGTTTGTGAGGTTCGCTCTCACATCTCACATCACCACACAAACTTAGGCCGCAGCATAAAAATTAAACACCAATCATCAAAAATGTCTTTATTTAACGTAAATTCGTTCGTTAATCGCATCTAAAATTACAAATATTCAACATTATTACGAATGTTTCAATTAAAATTCTTCATTTTCGAACGGGTGATGCTTGTGCCCGAGGGAACTGGAAAATAAAAAAATGAACTTGTATTTGAGACGACTTGAGTCACGTAACAAAAAAGCGTTACGGAAACGTTATCCGATTGAGGAATATATAAAAATGTTTATGTCGTATGGCCATACTTGAGACCTTAGAACTTATATCTCAAGGTGGGTGGCGCATTTACGTCGTAGATGTCCATGGGCTCCGGTAACCAATAACACTAGGTGGGCTGCGAGTTCGTCCACCCATATAAGCTATAAGAAAAAATGGCCATTAAAATTTATAACCGTTTACCTGATATTTTCAAGGATAAAAAAAAATCGACAATAAAGATTTTTTTTAGAGGAAATGTTATGATGAAGTGATGAAACTAGCAAGCAAAAACTTTGTATCCCTTTTTACGAAAATTGCGCGGACGGAGGAGTATGAAATTTCCCACACTTATAGAGAATATAGAGAAGAAGTGCACAATGTTAATGTTTTTTGATGTGAAACATCTATAGCCGCACGTAAAACCGATTTCTGGCGTGGCGACGCATGCCGTGGCGACGCGTTGCGATGCTATATGATGGTATACAGTCTATATGCAGTAGTGTGTACGGTGTAATATTTTATTTAAATCGTAATATTTTATTTTATCATTATGACATATTTAGTTCCTATCACGATCTGTTCTTTTCTGCATATTACTTTTACATAATAATGTCGATGTTTCACATCTGCCAGGCGTCCCGTGACGGCTCATTTGTTTTTATATTATTCATAAAAAATACATTAAATAAATAAATAAATAAACATTACACACGGCATGCTGTATTTGACAGAACACATATAAGTGGGAAGACTAATTTTAATATAACTTAAGAAAACATAAAACACAGTCTTAAATTGACATAACGATGTGATGAATAGTTTTTCTTTTTGGATAAATAAAAGATTTTATTGTTAAACTAAATATCGACTAGATTTCGCCATACCATCCCACATATCTCTTTGTTTATTATCAAAAGTCTGTGATCAAATTGAAAATAAGTTAATATTTTTTATCTTTAATATTATTTGTCTATAGTTTTGACGAAATATGTGATTATAGAAGTATAATAATAATCTTTGACAATAGAACCATAATAATGTTCAAACTTATAATTTCAATTAATTATAGTCGAATCTTGACTATTGGGAGACCACTAGTTATTATTGTTAGGCCTACCCGCGCGCGCTAATCAAACCCCACTTACGCCGTCATGGGCACCAGCCGACCGCCGCAGTCGAACGAGTCGATGAGGGCGACGTCCTCCCGGGAGAGCTTGAAGTCGAGCACGTCAAAGTTGCTCGCGATCCGACTCCTGGTGACGGACTTCGGGATCACGATGTTCCCGCTGTCGATCTGGTATCTGTATTAAAAAAAATAATATTGACGTGAGTTATGTCGGCGTAACCTACAGGACCTCCATAAAAACACCGTCACATGAACCATCCATTGTTTTAGGAAACCATAAGCTTCATTACTAACACACCATTGTTTAGCTTAAGAGTATATATAAGGATTATTTTTAACAATAAAGTCAGTCTAGAACCATCCTCCGTGTCGTCCACTTGCTTTTTAAAAACCCTCTCGCTCCTGTCCACTACCTAACTCGTGAGAACGTCTTATAATTCGATGGAGCCGGCTGCACGCACGAAAAAAAAGGGTGCGTGTACTTATGTACGCGCGTAAGTGGTTATACTTTATTTTTATTAAATTTATTTCTTTTTTTTTAATATTAAAAAATAATAAAAAAATTTACGTTAATAATTTAATAATATTTAGTATGAATTATATTAAATAATAATTTTGTCATTTATATTACTAAAAAATGAATGCTAATAACACTTTTTTTTACGAGTGTACATGCGCGAAAGTTCACCCGCGGCTATATTCAGACTCGCCAAGTTACGTCGGTTGTATGGTAATGAGCGATTTAGTGGGAAACTTCATTCTGTTAATTTTGTGTCACGGTGCGCGCGCATCGTAAAATTTCACTCTCATAAATTTTTCATAACGCGCCTAAAGAAGTATAACTTCAAAAAACATGACTCGTGCGGCGTTACCTCGCTCTGAGGCGTTCCACGATCACGTGGCCAAACTGGCAATAAATTTCTACTTCTCCTTCTAAAGCCTTCCACATTCATAGTTCGATCTCTTTTATCAACCTCATTTTCATTTCGTCTCATCATATGTCCATGCCATCTCAAAGGCGCTCTCAACTTCTATGTCACAGGTGCCACTTTTAGACTTCCTCTAACATATTCGGAGCCCGTGGACATCAACAACGTAAGTGCCGCCGCCCACCTTGAGGTGTGAGTTCTAAGGTCTCAGTATAGTTACAAGTCTAGGTTCCTTATTAGTGCGTATCGACTAATGGATTCTTCTATTGGCACCTCTTCATCTCTTACCTGATGAGGACCTGGGCGACAGTCTTCCCGAGTCTGTCAGCGATGGCCTTCAGTTTGGGGTCCTCCATGAGCTGGGGGTCGTCGGGCTTGGCCCAGGGTCTGTCCGGCGAGCCGAGGGGAGAGTACGCCGTGATCTTCACGCCGCGAGCCTCACAGAACTCCTTGAGGCGTTTCTGGTTGAGGTAAGGATGACATTCCACCTGGAAATTCATATTCGCATAAAGCGTCTTCGATATTTTGTTCCTAGATTGTGTGACGCGGCGCGGATATCCTAAGGCAATGTTAATGCTGGTATAGGTAAGAATTCATGAGGTCTCGACCTCAAGCCTCAAAGTGGGTGGTGGCATCCGAGTAATGATCTACGTCAGTTCCAGTAACCACTTTAACTCAAATGAGCCGTATGCCAATTTACGCAAAATAATACAAACAAAAGTACCAGGGTACTATGAAACATAAGGAGGTGTATGTATAACTTAGGATAGCTTTGTTCAGAAGTAAAACCATCCTTCATATATCTGCTAGGCACCAATCATGAGTTCGAATTGTATTTATTTTTTGAAGTGAAAACTTCTTTAGAATCGTTGTGATTTCAAACCGGATGCAACGGAAAAAACGACAGGTAAGAGACACAAATACAAAAATGTGTAGGATGAAGCCAGCAAAGAATGAGACAGAAATATACATACTATTTAATACAGCGCCATCTGTGAGATTTTTTAATACTAACGTGTGTATGAAAGCTCTTGTAGTGAATTTTTATTTAGGATTATACGTGAAATTAAAATATCAATTCACAGAGGGCGCTACCTTACAATTATTTACTAATGACAAAATTTTACATATACTTAAGACGTTTAGGATAATTGTATTTTAATTTTGGAAGGTTTCACTTCTACCACGTGTGAATTGCAGACATTTTGTTTTTTTATTTCCTACCTAAGCTGATAGCCTTGAGAGGCTATTTCAGGTTCACCCTAACGTGTGTAGGTGAGCTCACGGGGCTCAAACCGGAAGTGTTGCTAACACTGGCCCTTGCAAGAGCAGTGCTTCACTGAATCTACCACCGGATCGGAAACGCGACCCACTGAGAACATCCGGCGAGAAACTCAATGGGCTGTGTCTGAGGGTTAATTCGCTCGCCGAGCCCTTCGCCGCAAGCGACGGGTTCGACGAGGACGGTGACCGGGTCCTTGTGGTACCTAAAAGCACCGTTAATGGATCGGAAGGATCCGTAATAGGGTCACTTATATAACTGAAAATTCGACCTCATGTCTCAAGGTGGGTCTCGGAATTCATGTAGTAATTTCGCTGTAGCAAATTTCGTTGTAATTTTGATTTAAGGATGAAAAATTAAGAAAACAACTACTAATACTACAGACCGCAAAAGAAGTTTCACTTCTGTCACATACCAAGTTGCATACGTACCATTTATTTATTTTTTAAAATGAGCTCTAGCTCATTTAGTTTTAAATGATCACTACAGCTATAGGTGTTACGTGAATAGCGTCCTGAAACTATGCAGCCACTTAACACCAGATAGGCCATGAACTTGAACATGAAATAATAGAAACAAAAGTACCAGGATACTATGACATGTAAGGAAGTGTAACATAGGAACTTGAAACGAACCTCTTTGTACAAAAGACAGGTTTAATGAATTTTGGGTTGATTTTTCTGATGGCCCATCTGGTTTTAAGTGGTTAGCAAATGCACATACGCCACAACGTAGATGCCGTCACCGACTTATCACAGGATAGACCTTCAACTCATTCAAAAGTACCAGGGTACTATGACATGTAAGGAAGTCTATATATAACTTGAACGAACCTCTTGGTACAAGATAGGTTTAATGAATTTTGGGTTGATTTTTCTGATAGCCCATCTGGTTTTAAGTAGTTACCAAATGCAAATACGTAACAACGTGGATGCCGTCACCGACTTATCACAGGATAGACTTTCAACTCATTCAAAAGTACCAGAGTACTATGACATGTAAGGAAGTCTATATAGAAACTTGAACGAACCTCTTGGTACAAGATAGGTTTAATGAATTTTGGGTTGATTTTTCTGATAGCCCATCTGGTTTTAAGTGGTTACCAAATGCAAATACGTAACAACGTGGATGCCGTTATCGACTTAACACCGGATAGACCTTCTAACTCTTCGATCAACAATAGTAACTAGATAAAGGGATACGTACAAAATTAAAGCAAAAACTGTCCGCGTGAATATATACTTATATAGCTACATTCGTTTACTAACAAACGGAGAAAAAAGTTTTGAAACACTTTTACTTTCAAACTAATAACAACTATGGCACCTGGTAATAAAGTCACAAATCTCCAAAACATTATCTAATACTTACGATCATTCGTCACATAAAACGAGCAAAGCAATAAATTACTCCTGTCACTTACCAATAAAAAGACATATTTTAAACAACTTTTAATGTTAAATCAATCTTAAAGTACAACATATAAAGTAACTTTTCCCTTAATTGCTCTGAGAACTAACATCGTTTTGCTTTAATTATTTTTGCTTCTTGAAATGCCGATTTCTATTTACTACAGGAGGTAAGGGAGTCGCGCCTAACACTAAAATAATTTATTAATGAATTAAAGTAAAAGTTTAGTTGTTTACTTTTTATGTTTTGGAAATGTATGTTTGTTAGTGTCTATACATTACATATTATTTTATTAGCGTTACGTTTTTGTGTAATATATATTTTTAAGTTTTCGCGACCAGTGCACATAATAAAACAACGTTTAAACGGTTTCAAGCGTGGTATTTTTATTACAATGTTTCGGCCACATTTCAGTAGCCGTGAGCACGGAAGGCAAAGATGTCCAGTGTCAATAAGCGGAGTTCTTAGCTGGCTTATAAAAGTCATCTCTTGTTTCTCTGGCGACAATCGAGATCCATTCTGCACACGTGATTGCTAGGAAAGCTAAAATAAAAATGGAAAGCTAAGTATCTAATGAGAGTCCAACAAACAGACACAAAAGCAGCATTAACCAATTTTAACCAACTAATTTTGAAGTGCTGCTAACAAATTTTAAAAAATTATTACAACACAAATCTACTCCATGCATTTACTGTTCTGTTAAGCAAAAGTTTGTCCATGTGTTGGCCGAGCCTTGGCCAACATTTGTAGCGGTGGTTAAAAATCGGTAATTTTGTTCAAAATTTAATATTATTTATAAGTTTAAAGCTTACAATATAGTTTATACTTCATGTACTTACCGAAAGTAAGATACTCCGGCCGTTAAATTGCTTTTTCGGGCCTTATTTTTGCAACTTTTGAATACACACTGCGGTATTGTGAGACGGGTTGACATTGGCTGTGTTTGAAGTGAACTAAACAAAATAAGAGCTCACATTTCAAGTGCGCTGTTATTTGACGAGACGGATTTTATGCACCGACCCGAAATCTAGTTACTATTGTTGATCGAAGTTCTAACTCATCAACTTATGTAAAACAGTAAAATCAAAAGTACCAGGATCCTAGGACATGTAAAGAAGTGTATGATATATTATTAGCTTAAACGAAATTCTTTGTACAAAAGACAGGTTAAAGAATTTTGGGTTGATTTTTCTGATGGCCCATCTGGTTTTAAGTGGTTACCAAATGCACATACGCCACAACGTAGATGCCGTCACCGACTTATCACCGGATAGACCTTCAACTCATCGTCACCGACTTATCACCGGATAGACCTTCAACTCATTCAAAAGTACCAGGGTACTATGACATGCGAGGAAGTTTAATATAGGAACTAGAACGAACCTCTTTGTACAAGATAGGTTTAATGAATTTTGAGTTGATTTTGCTGATGGCCCACCTGATTTTAAGTGGTTACCAAACGCACATACGTCATAACGTAGATGCCGTCACCGACTTAACATCGGCTAGGCCTTCACCTCATCAACTTACGTAAAACAGTAAAATCAAAAGTACCAGGGTGCTATGAGTTACAAAGAAGTGTATTGACATTAACCAAGTGCCGCAGCGGTCTACCTGATTGACGACCGGCTTGACAGTCGCGTGCTGCAGCAACCTCTCCAGCTGCTTCGAGTTGAAGTTGGAGACTCCGATGCTCTTGACCAGACCCTCTTTGACGAGCGGCTCCATAGCCTTCCAGGTGTCCACGTAATCGACGTCCGAGAACTGGATTTTACCTGATTGGTCGGTCGGGAAGAGAGAGCCGTCTTCCTGCGGAGATTATTATGTGTCATTTGTCACTAATCTATCCCAAAACCCTAAAGTGTCAGACACTAAAACACTAATTATTTCCATGCAATTTTGTATTGTTTTTGACCGGAACGCACGCCACCGAAATAGGCAATTTTTTAATGATTAGATTGATTTGATCTCACCGCTCACTTAGTGTCAAGTGCTCACCGAAGCTCATAAAACCAAGTCTCCATCACTTTTAAAACTGCTAAAAACTTAAAACTGTGCGAACTTAGAACTCATGTCTCAAGCTGAGTGGCGGAATTTGCGTTGTAGATGTCTATGGGCTCCGGTAACCACTTAACACCAGTGAGCTCGTCCACCCATCTAAGCAATAGAAAAGAGCTGTGTGATGGCTTTCCTTTCATGAAATTGGCTACTGGTACCATTGTGGGCTCACAAAGCATGGATAGTGATCCTCGTCTTCTCATTCACCACTCCCTCACCTTGTAGGCCTGGGGCCAGTGTATCAGGTACAGATCCAAGTACTGAACGTTCAGATTGTCCAGGGTCTCCTGCAGGGCACCGCGCACCAAGTCCGGGCGATGAAACGTGTTCCACAGTTTCGAAGTTATGAACAGATCTTCCCTGAATCGAATAAGAACTTACATGAGCACTCGCGAACTATTATTATTAGATTTTTGAAGTGAAAACTTCTTTAGAATCGTTGTGATTTCAAACCGGATGCAACGGAAAAACGACAGGTAAGAGACACAAATACAAAAATGTGTAGGATGAATGAGACAGAAATATACATGCTATTTAATACAGCGCCATCTGTGAGATTTTTTAATACTAACGTGTGTATGAAAGATCTTGTAGTGAATTTTAATTTAGGATTATACGTGAAATTAAAATATCAATTCACAGAGGGCGCTACCTTACAATTATTTACTAATGACAAAATTTGTATTTTAATTTTGGAAGGTTTCACTTCTACCACGTGTGAATTGCACACATTTTGTTTTTTTATAGAGTAGTTTATATTATTTTAGTTTTAGTAGTTTAGTTTATTATTTTATAGATTAGATTAGTTTATTGATTAAAATTATACAGGCAGCGGCAGAATAGCAGCGATAGTTTCACCTATCACATAGCTGAGCCGCGGCCTTTTTATCTCCACTGTCAGTGTAATTAATGTATTGTAATATTGTTTATATATATATTTTTTTTTAGGTGGTAGGACCTCTTGTGCGTCCGCACGGGTCCGCACCTTGCCTATTTCTACCGTGAAGCAGTAATGCGTTTCGGTTTGAAGGGCGGGGCAGCCGTTGTAACTATACTTGAGACCTTAGAACTTATATCTCAAGGTGGGTGGCGCATTTACGTTGTAGATGTCTATGGGCTCCGGTTACCACTTAACACCAGGTGGGCTGTGAGCTCGTCCACCCATATAAGCAATAAAAAAAAATAACAGTGGAAGTCTGTGGATGATGATGAAGGCTGCGATTGAATAAACAGTACCTCGTTACGACTCCTTCCTTAATTTTGCTGGTTATGGCCTCTCCGACTTCCTTCTCGTTTCCGTAAACATAGGCACAGTCGATGTGTCGGTAGCCAATGTCAATGGCATCCTTGACTGCCTGCGTCACCTCGCCTGGCTTCGACTAGAACACAAAGCATTAGCGAAATGAAAACTCCTTTGCCATAATTCATTTATTTATTTACTAGCTGGCCCGGCAGACTTCGTAGTGCCTCAATATAATAAATAAAAGACCTAAACTTTTGTATAAAACAAACTTAAAACAAACAAAAGCAATCCGTCTGATGGGGGGGGGGGGGGATCAAAGGAATTTTTTTGTAATTTAATTCCGAACATTTTCATATTTATCTACCTTTTAAACTTTCTCTGGACTTCCACGAATAATTCAAGACCAAAATTAGCCAAATCGGTACAGCCATTCTCGAGTTTTAGCGAGACTAACGAACAGTAATTCATTTATATATATATATACTATAGATAGAAAATAGATTTATTACACTTCATGTAAAATTTACATTGGCGGACTTAATGCCTAAGGCATTCTCTACCAGTCAACCTAAGGTAGTGCAGAGTAGATAGTGGTAGGTTGTTGTGTTAGCGTGTATGGGGACAAGTGATACTCAAGACGGCCAGTGACACACTCACATTTATTACAAACATAACATAGGTGCAATGAAATTAATATTAAGTTACAAAAAGTAGTGGACGAGCTCACAGCCCACCTGGTGTTAAGTGGTCACTGGAGCCCATAGACATCTACAACGTAAATGCGCCACCCACCTTGAGATATAAGTTCTAAGGTCTCAGTATAGTTACAACGGCTGCCCCACCCTTCAAACCGAAACGCATTACTGCTTCACGGCAGAAAACATACATAGACACATATATACATACATATAATAGTTTATACAGTATTAAAAGACATAATTATTGCCATTAATGTTTCAATGAAACGACAAAGCGACACTAAAAGTGAGACAAACATATTATCGCAACCTTTAGAATTTAAGTGGATCAATCCAAAGTTCTTGGATTTGTTTGGAAATGGGGCCAAAAACGTAATTTAAGAATTGAAATTTTTCAGTTTTAATTTTAACTAGAGGTCCCGCAGTAGTCGAAATTCGACTATAACTAATTGGAATTGTAAGTTTGTACACTATTATGATTGTATTTTATACTTCTATAATCACAAATTTCGCCAAGACTACACTATAAAATATATTAATAAAGACAAACAATATTTAATCTAATCTCAATTTGACAACAGACGTCAAGAACAAAAGTTTGACAATAAATCGTATGCATGCGTGTGTGCGTCAAATTGTATGTAGTGTGTGTAATGTTTTCCTTATTGATTTAATGTATAGTATCTTTTATGCATTATTTTAAAAAAATATTAGCTTTGTGCACTGCTTCTCTATATTCTCTATAAGTGTGGAAAATTTCATACTCCTTCGTCCGCGCAATTTTCGTAAAAAGGGATACAAAGTTTTTGCTTCACGTATTAATATATAGATATTTTAAGCCTCAAAGCGTCTAATTTAAACCTTAAGGTGCATGATTTAAAAGCCACGGAAATTGTTTTGAAAACTTTTCTAGACATTAATTCATAAGTCGTTCAAACGTTATTGAAGATTTGCAAAATTTTGCAATTGAATGACTTTAATACTTTAAGCCTTAAAGCTTAAGGTGCATGATTCAAAAGACACGTAAAATGTATTTGGTATTTTTCTAGACCAAAAGAGACAGTTTTTTTTTTTATTTTAGAAATTAATTTATAAACCCTTCAAAATATCATTTTCTTACATATTTTTTTTATTGCTTAGATGCGGGGACGAGCTCACAGCCCACCTGATGTTAAGTGGTTACTGGAGTCCATAGACATCTACAACGTAAATGCGTCACCCACCTTGAGATATAAGTTCTAAGGTCTCAATTATAGTTACAACGGCTGCCCCACCCTTCAAACCGAAACGCATTACTGCTTCACGGCAGAAATAGGCAGGCTAGTGCTACCTACCCGCGCGGACTCACAAGAGGTCCTACCACCAGTAATTACGCAAATTATAATTTTGCGGGTTTCATTTTTATTACACGATCTTATTCCTTCACCGTGGAAATCAATCGTGAACATTTGTTGAGTACGTATTACATTAGAAAAATTGGTACCCGCCTGCGGGATTCGAACACCGGTGCATCGCTACATACGAATGCACCGGACGTCTTATCCGTTAGGCCGCGACGACTTTTAAATTACATTGTTTGAGTTATGCCATTTCAATTCTAAAGTAGCGATAAATGGCCTGCGATAGATTGATAACAAATCCTTTGTCTTATTTATTGCTTTTATGTAAATTTTAAGTCACTTAATTTTTATTTATTTTTGTTCACTATTTACTCACGTGTCGTATTAGTGTTGGAAATTTTGTTTAGTTTTTTTTTATCTACGGTAGGTACTTAACGGTAGGCACCGTATTAACTCTGCCCCTAACATTGCTGAAGTCCATGACCGACGGTAACCGCTCACCACCAGGTGGGCCGTATGCTCGTCTGCCTACAAGGGCAATAAAAAAAAACCTTGATGTTACTATGGGCGGGTATTTTACTATTAGTTTCCCATTCACAGGTCACCGTCCTGTCCAACTCGCATACTACGACAAAGAGTTTGAGGCGCTGGCTAGCTTATAGACACAGCCCACTGAGTTTCTCGCGGGATCCTCTCAGTGGGTCGCGATTCCTATCCTGTGGTAGATCCTGCGAAGCATTGCTCTTGCTAGGGCTAATGTTAGCGACGTCGTCAAGTCAGAACACCGTGAGCTCACTTATTCATTCTGTGAATTTAGTATAACCCCTCAAGTTTACTAGAATAGGTAGGAAAAAAATAAAAGTCTATATATTGTCCTCTCTCTCTGGCATGATGTTCAAAGCGATCGCGAAACGCCAAGCAACTCAACATTAATCAACTGTATTTATTTATAAGACAATAAAAAAATATATGGTAATGCGTGTTTATACAATAATTGATAAATTTTAATTTGAGGTCAGTGACTTTAGATAATTTTAAGTGATTTTTTTTTTAAATATATTTCCGGCTGAGTTATTGTAGACCAGTGGTGGGTAAACATTTTTAATGGCGGGCCACAAAGTTTAAGAAATTCTAGACGAGGGTTAGAATTATATAAAAATATAAAAATGCATTTTGTATTAAAACTTTTTTATAAACAAAATACCGTTTACTTTTACGCCTTGTTAGGCGTATGAGACGTGAGCAATACCGTTTTTACCATAAGGGCACACGGGGCCCGTGCCCAGGGCCCCCATTCTCAGGGGGCCCCTAAGGACCGACAATTTCTCTCACACATTTATTCGATTTCCGTTATAGTAATCGTAACCAAAAAACCAGCAGCATTCTAATATCATTAATGACATATTATATCATACCGTATTTGATTTGATACGTATTGATTGATAAATGGTCATACTCAGTAAAAAAATGTTATTATAATTCGATTTTTTTACTATCCAAAAGGACCTCAAATTCTTGTGTGCCCAAGGGCCCCAGCCTAATTTAAGACGTCCCTGGACGTGAGGCGTGTGATAGATAGGTAAAAAGAATGTTTTTTTTTCCCAATAAATAAACTTATTGTGACAGACTACCGAGATAATTATTATGATGGCAAATTAATTATGAGATAATGAAAGCTCAAAACACCCCTGACGAATTGGAGCTTTCATTAAAAATTCGATAGTTTTCAATTATTATAAACGTCAGATTTTATTTTACGCGCCAAAATGCTGTCTAGAATATTTAGGATGGATTGACTCTCGGCGGGCCGGATTAAATACTTGTGCGGGCCGTAATTTGCCGATCACTGTTGTAGACAATGCTGTGAGCCTCCACGAGTCAATATTCTCTGTGTATTTAGTCGGCAAAGTGGTATTGTGCTCTGACCCTCAGACACAGCCCACTGAGTTTCTCGCCGGATCTTATCAGTGGGTCGCGTTTCCGATCCGGTGGTAGATTCTGCGAAGCACGGCTCTTGCTATGGTTCGTGTTAGCAACGTCGTCAGATCTGAGCCCCGTGAGCTCACCTACTAGTTAAGGTTACGCTGATATAGCCTCTCAAGGCTATCAGCCACTACAGCTAATAAAATAAGGTACTTAAACTGCATGTGTCTGTAACCATTTAACATCAGATGAGCTCACCGTTTCATACAAGATTACTCTATTATGTGTTGCTAGAATATTAAAAAAAAAAAACAAATCAACATAGTCTTTTGCATTTACATCATTCTGCACTCCGTTTGATGTTCGATTTGAGAATGTCTCAGATGAGACAACTGTAACTATACAAATACCTTAGAACTCATATCTCAAGGTGGGTGGTGGTATATACATTGTAAATGTCTATGGGCTCCGGTAACCACTTAACATCAGGTGAGCCGTGAGCTCGTCCACCCATCCATGAAATAAAAAATTAAAAAATCTTGATTGATTGTTTCTTTAAATTAAATATTCTAAATTTTGTGATTTTCAAGGAAAGTGTATCTTGAATAAATTTCCAAAAAACAATTTTTAATCTCAAACCTATCACAGATAATATCACAGACCAGCTTTTCTTGTGTGAATGGCAAAAAAAATCAGAGGTAATGGACAAAGAGAAGATCTTCCACCAAGTGGGTGAAGTAATTGCTCGGTAAATCGACATTCCGCATTTTATTGGTTGGAACTTGCAAGCTTGCAAATTTATGCAAACTTATCTTGAAAATGACATTAGTAAGATTGAGGTGTCTATCAGATATCTTCTGTTCTACGATAACTTCCATATCAATTTGATGGGCAATAAACTTAAATCTTATTTAACTAAAATGGCTCTTATCTATAGTCATATTCGGTTTGTTCGTGTTATCAGTTACTACATGAAATAGATAGTAAAATTTGTAAGATAAGTTTGTACTGTCAAATTTGAAATCTCTATATGTCAATGAGCTTATTAAATATCAAAATAAATCTATAGGATGAAACCAGCTCAGCGGCATGTCAAATCTTTTATATGAAGTCGTGGCCTAAACGATAAGATGTCCGGTGCATTCGTGTTGAGCGATGCACCGGTGTTCGAATCCCGCAGGTGGGTACCAATTTTTCTAACGAAATACGTACTCAACAAATATTCACAATTGATTTCCACAGTGAAGGAATAACATTGTTCTACTAATGTAGGCGGCTCCTCACCTGTGCCCCTGACATTGTTGATGTCAATGACAGTAACTACTTACCATCAGGTGGATAAGCTCGTTTATCAATAAGGTCAAATGTTTTTTTTTTATGAAAACCGGGCATAGGTTTATGTCTACCACTCAAATAAAGAAGATAACTCTTTTAGGAGTCTTTATGTAGCCTCCTTCTTAGTTAACATCATTTCAATTATTCAATGCTCGTCATTAATTGGTCATTTCTTTCACAAGAAAGACTAGCGTAAGAGATGGAAAAAATGTTCTAATAGTCGTCTCTATGTTTTGTACCGCTGTTTTAACTGTTAATGCTCAGAAGTGTGTTTTAATCACCGAACCGCATACCGAAGGAGCATATTTTCAGTTTATATGCGTGTAGTTAAAACCACTACATACCGCTTTCATTATTTTCCCAACATTACGACATATTGACTTTTCTAGAGAAACTTTGAAAAGGATGCTTAGACGGTTAGTGATGTCGACGATAAAAGCTTAACATCGCGTGGGCCATAAGCCGTTTTGCCTTCGTTGGCAAAAGGTAAGGTAAATAAATAAATAATTTACCTTCCAAGTTCCCAATCCTAATATCGGACATTTCAATTCGTTGTTGAAATCAACAGAAGGCACACTTGTCGACATTTTCACAGTTTAAATTAGTTTAGTATTTCTAAAACTTAGATAACCGGCTACAAAAAAGAATCAATTGAAATTTTAATTTAAAAAACACAGAGTACCCACACACACAACAGAAAATGTTTTAATGTTGCCTGGCGTTATTAGAAAAAAGCCATACATTTGACGTAGAAATCTAACTTGTTAGTCGCTTGTTATATAATAATTGAAACATACTGTGAAGAACGCATTGGTTCCAGTTGATAGAGTTTAGGCGATACTTAAACAGTCATTCAAATCAAATTCACGGTTAAATAGTCATCTTATCTATTGCAACTGTGAGCTCTTGTTCAAATCATAAGCTGCACAGTGTTAAAATTGCTGGATCTACGAACTTTCAAATAGCGGTGGGCTGTAGCGGCATTTTTAAAATTAATTTTCATTTTTTTTTAAAACGAAACTAGCTATCGAATGTCAATAGCGGCTTTTGAAACGCGCTATTTCAGTAGCGAGCAATAGCGGGTTTTGTTTAGCAGTAAACTAATGTGCACACGAACGAGCTAGCGTCGCGATTAATATTTCAGTAATTACGACTTTATTTGTAATTTAATATGTTAGCATTACTTCATTAAAGAGTTCATATCGTACTTTATAATAGATTTTTACAAGGTCTATAAACTTAATCTATATTAAACAATTATACCCTTTATATTTTTAACTATTCAATTGGTAGATAATTAAACTTAAAACTTAACGCCTCGTTTTTAATACAAATTGTCGCTAAACACGTGACTCGTGAATAACTGGTTCAAGGCCACAAAATTCGACTTCAACTTGCACTCATAATTTAATTTTTTAAATCTTATTTTAAGAGTTTTAAGGGCTAAAGTCAAAGGTCAAATGCATTTCAGTCGTGTGAGAGAAAGAGACAAAATGATGATCGTCTATTTCGATCGAACCGATGTTTGCGCTGCGTGTCGCGATAGCTGCCGACCGAGCGGTACGAAGTTAAGCGAATATTGCCGAACGTTGTGTGATTTGTGTTCGTGATCGGTGACGTGATTGAGGTAGTAGACGTTAGCAGCTTATTGCAGTACGGCGAAACTAGCTAACCGCTATTTTGCCTATTGTAACGGACGTGACGTCAGCTGTCATGCCCTGCCGCCAGCCAAGCCGCCAAGCCATGTTAACACGCCCCCTTCCGCCACAGCCACCGCCGCCGCCAGCCAAAGCCAACGAAGGGGGGATAGTGTTAATAAAACAAGCCGTACCAGCCATTTCTACCTGCTTTTTCTGCATTCTCGCACAAATAAAAGAACTTGTCGTTACGCTGGTGGTTTTTATTGTCACATCATTTGCAACACTATAGATAGTTTCAATAACNCGCCAAGCCATGTTAACACGCCCCCTTCCGCCACAGCCACCGCCGCCGCCAGCCAAAGCCAACGAAGGGGGGATAGTGTTAATAAAACAAGCCGTACCAGCCATTTCTACCTGCTTTTTCTGCATTCTCGCACAAATAAAAGAACTTGTCGTTACGCTGGTGGTTTTTATTGTCACATCATTTGCAACACTATAGATAGTTTCAATAACCATTTACGTTGCGTAACGACCATGCCTACTTTCAAATCGATCGAAATTATCGTCTTCAACCACAAATCAATCTTAAGCTTCGATTCAGTAATACTATCAAAGTTTGTGAAGTGTTATTTACTCTATAGTATTTGAAATATTTGACATATAGATAATACTTTAAGAATTAAAGTTTATCTATCACCATAATTTTACTGATTTTGATTAAAAAACTACAGTTTAAAACAAATACGTCAAAACGTAGATACATACGTTTAAATAAAATTAAATAAACGAAAGTAATTTAATTCGGTTGCACACCACAGAGAAATAAATATCTAAAAAATAAAATAGATCACAATAAAAATATTAAAATTTAAAATACGTTATAAAGTTAAAGGACAATGCCCAAAAGTGGGCCAACTTTATGTCAAAACTATTTGTACTTGAAAAACTATGCCTTATTTTTTTACGTTGTTTAGTTTATGTATCAACATTTCTTTCGCCCTGGCATTGTTTTACAAAAATATAAATTACTTATTTGATATCATCCCAAAACTTAGTGCCATAGTTTTTAAATTCGCCAATAAGCAAAGGGCTTAGCCCATACAGCCTTATAGTAAACCTATATGCTGCCAAACGAAAGAGTTGTCTGTGACTTGAACAACAAATTAAAAAATGGTTAACTAATGGTTATAATTCACAGACTTTTTAGTTTATTTTTGTTCAATTTAATATTTATATATTGTAATAATAATTATTACTTAAAACCATGAGTTATTTTATTTAATATTTTTAGATATTATTGATTCCATTAGTAAAAATCTCAATGGCCTACCATTACTCTATTCTTATTATATATGATCGGAGAGTTTTGGCAGCAACCCGAGTGAAGCGTCACTTGAAGTTTTATTTTAATGTTTTTTTAATAGTTTATTGTGATGTATAATAAATAAATTGGGTGTTGTTTTGTGTATTAAACGTCAATTATCGTTGTTCACGATTATTGAGGCATTGGAATAAAACTGTGGCTAGCATAGCAGTGACTGTTTTTTTTTTTAAGATAAAAGGTCTACGGAAATTCATGCTCACTCAATGAGCTATTCATCGAGTAGACGTCAAAACTCCCAAAAAGCAATAAAAAGAGATACACGGGCTTTTTATTGACATAAAAAAATATAACTACGACAGACTAGGCTGTATAGGCTACGCTCTTTACCTGCTTATTGGCGAATTTAAAAACAACAACAATATCGTTGTCGGCTTCCGGATTTTCATTTCATTTTATTATTATTATGAGGATATAATAATAATAAAATGTACGTAAGGGCTTATTTCTAGCAACATTAACCACAATTAACTTATTTAATACTGTAAATAATGATGAAAGCGATTATTGAATTCGAAAAAAACAATTAACAACTTAATGTTAGCTGCAGAAAAAAACAGATTTCTCTTAAACCTGGGTGAGAATATAAAAATAGTTTTCTGAATATGAAACGATATTTCTTTGTCTATCAAAATAAGTTAAAACCATCATGACGCGACAACTTTTTTTAGGGGCCCAAACGCCCACAAAAAATGGGCATTGTCCTTTGGACATAAATTTAATTAGATTAAAAATAAACTTTACATTAAAGCTATGTAAATACAATATAAAATTAAATTCGGACATAAATGGAATCTTTTTTTAAACAGCACAAGTTTTTCTAATAAATATTTAAATTATACTAAATATTAATATATCATCCAAATAAGCAACGCCTTTTCAACAAATTCAGAGTCAAGGAACAAAATCGAGAAGTGATCAAAGTGGAAAAAGATTTAACATGGCAATACTCGTATTATGTCAAACTGACAAAAAGAATTATAGATACGAACGTGGCGGTATCAACTTAGCTTTAAACTAATCTTGATTTGTCAACATCTGATTGGCTAACGCAAGGCCAACAAAAGTGTCATGGAAACAGCCGCATAATACCTATTATTTATTAACGCTATTTTATTAGCTCGATACGTATGTACCTATGTTTGTTTGTACGTAACGGCATCTTTAAGAGTTGTTTTCAAGGACTTCAAAGCGTTCGATTAACATAAAAGTTTGGTCACGCATCAAGGACCGATGATGAAACATTAATTTTATAATAATAATTGTTCTCTAATATACCAACTAGTATCAGCGGGATAAAATTTATTGAACCGAATTGTTAGTTCAGTTGGCTATTTAAGCTTGTTTTTTTTTAAGTTTTTGAAATATATTTATTTTTATTGACTAATTAGCGCAAAGGATAGACGGCACAAACGCGTGGTAAGTCTCCCAAGCAGAAGGTGAACCACATCAAGCCTGTAGTGGGAGATTCTTTAAATGAGTGGAGCAGAATGGCTTCGAGCAACTGGAGATGGTGAGGAAAAAGGGATCTTAAAATTCATCAACTCTGCCCCATCCAATAGTAAATTACATTACAATTAAAGTAATTAATCACAACCATTCCGTCAAGAGCGCAACAACTAAGAATAAAGACGCTGTGGCTACGTAGAATAGCACCGCGCAATAATGTAGAGTGTATTAAAAATTAAGATTGCAAAAAATATAATTAACGTGTCTTTGTCAGCCTCTTGTCATTTGTCCCGCATGGGTAGGTACCACCGCCCTGCCTATTTCTGCCGCGAAATATTAATGGATTCCGGCTTAAAGATTGGGGCAGCCGTTGTACTGTGAAACTGGAACCAAATACTCGTGTCTTAAAGTGTGTGGGAGAATTTACGTTGTTAACGTTTATGGCCTCCGATAACAACTTAACACCAGATAGGCCATGCGCTCGTCTACCAATCTAAGTAATAAAATAAATAAATACTTTCTCTCACTTGAAACCAAAGCCAAAGTTGTAGCACCGACACGTGCGAGCTAGTAATTTGCCCTAATCTTAAATTTTGCGGGTCAGACAAGCCATTCATCCCGTCGGATATTTAGTGCCAGTGCACTACCACTATTAATTATTACACATATCTAGTATAATCTTTAAATGTTAATGAATAGCACCTCAGGCATCTGTGACTAAAACTGTAATGTATTCTTTCGTCGGAAACAATTTAATTATAATAAAAAGGCGGGATTAAACCGGAAAAGTAATTTTAAAACTCTAAAACTCCAGAAAAGCGAAGAAAATACTTGCCATCCCACTACCATGCTATCCCATCATAGTGAAAGTCATTTGTGAACACATTTTTTTTTTTATAACAACTAAGAGGCATACGAGCAAGACGGGACATCTAGATACATCCTGAAAATATTGAAGCCTGCGAGATTTGATCACCGAAATAGAAACATACCTAACTCTTTAAAGGAAATATATTTTCTACTTGAACTATTACACATATGATTTTATATTTCACAACTAAATAATACTCTATCAGCAACATCATCATAGTCGGTTCATCTTGGCAGAGTACTTATATAGAGTCCTTTTTTATTATAGCCTTGATCTCTGTTCACCATAATTCACGAACTGAGTCTTGGCTAATTATAATGATAATGCTATATTTGGTTAATTTAAAATAT